GAAGAAGAAACTGTATTATTCAGCCAAGATCAATGATATAAAGAATGATGGGGGAAAAAAACTTTTAAGTACTTTAAATGAAATTATGGGGCAGAAAGACAAATGCAACTCCATCTTTCAGTGAATCAGATGGCTTATTCATCACAAAACCATTTGATGTTGCCAATTATTTTAATGATTACTTCATTGGCAAAGTGGGAAAACTTAGGCAGGAAATGCCAACAATGAACAGTGAGCCATCATATTCATGCATAAAAAAAAAAAATAAGAAAGAAAAGCATTGCAAGTTTGAATTTTGTAAAGTTAGTGTGGGAGAGGTGGAATAATTATTGTTATCGATCAATAATGACAAACCTCCTGGCATTGACAACTTAGATGGAAAGCTACTGAGGATGGTAGCTGACTCTATAGCCACTCCTATCTGTCATATCTTTAATCTGAGCTAGAGGAAAGTCTTTGTCCTCAGGCCTGGAGGGAAGCCAAAGTAATTCGGCAACCCGAGAATGGTAAAGCAGCCTTTACTGGTTCTAACAGCAGACGTATTAAGCTTGCTGCCAGCTCTTAGCAAACTGTTGGAAAACATTGTTTGACCAAATACAATGCTATTTCTCTGTAAACAAATTAACAACATACTTTTAGCATGCTTATAGAGAAGGGCACTCAACATGTACTGTAAGTCGCTCTGGATAAGAGCGTCTGCTAAATGACTAAAATGTAAATGTAAAATGTTAACGCTGCAGCATACAATTACATTCTAGACGATTGGAACGCCGACTGCGAGCCAGGCCTAATCGGCAAACATCAGTGCCCAACCTCACAAATGCTCATGGCTAAATGGAAGCAAGTCCCCGCAGCAATGTCCCAACATCTAGTGGAAAGCCTTCCCAGAAGAGTGGATGCTGTTATAGCAGCAAAGGGGGGACCAACTCCATATTAATACCCATGATTTTGGAATGAAATGTTCGACGAGTAGGTGTCCACATACTTTTAGTGTATGATAAGCAGAGTAGCAGCAGCGTATATGATGCTTGTATGCGAGTGGGTGTGCGTGTGTGTAGTCAGTATAAATGTATGTGTGTGAAAGCAAATTATGGAGTGAGTGTTTTTGTGTGTGTGTTGGATTGTCAGTGTGCGTGAGTGTGTTGGGCCCTGTGAGTGTGCATAGAGACAGTGCAAAAATAAAATTAAATACACAAGGGTCAACGATTTTCCTGGCCTTCCTTTCACACCGCCTGGGTCCTGGATGACAGGGAGCTCGGCCCCTGAGATGTACTGGGCTGTCCGCATCACCCTCTGTAGCACCATGCGATCGAGGGCGGTACCATTACCATGCCAGGCAGTGATGCAGCCAGTCAATATGCTCTCAATGGTACAGCTGTAGAACTTTTTGAGGATTTGAGGGCCCATGCCAAAGCTTTTCAACCTCCTTAGGGGGAAGAGGTGCTGTCGCGCCTTCTTCACGACTGTGTGGACCATTTTAAGTCCTTTGTGATTTGGACACCGAGGAACACGAAGCTCTCGACCGTCTCCACTGCAGCCCCGTCGATGTGGATGGGGGCGTGCTCGCCCCCCCTTCCTGTAATCCACGATCAGCTCCTTGGTCTTACTGACGTTGAATGAGAGGTTGTTGTTCCGGCCCTACACTGCCAGGTCACTGACCTCCTCCCCGTAGGCTGTCTCATCGTCGCCGGTGATCAGGCCTGCCATCTTCTTGTCGTCAGCAAACTTGATGATTGTGTTGGAGTCGTGCGCGGCCATGCAGTCGTGGTTGAACAGGGAGTACAGGAGGGGACTAAGCACACACCCCTGTGCGGCCCCCGTGTTGAGGGTCAGCATGGTGGAGGTGATGTAGCTACCCTCATCACCTGGAGTCGGCCCATCAGGAAGTCCAGGATCCAGTTGCAGAGGGAGGTGTCCCGTCCCAGGGTCCTAAGCTTGGTGACGAGCTTGGAGGGGACAATGGTGTTGAACGCTAAGCTGTAGTCAATGAACAGCATTTTCACATAGGTATTCCTCTTATCTAGGTGGGTGAGGGCAGTGTGGAGTGCAATTGAGATTGCATCGTCTATGGATCTGTTGAGACGGTATGCAAATTGGAGTGGGTCTGTGGTGTCTGGGATGATGGAGTTGGTTTGTGCCATAACCAGCCTCTCAAAGCTCTTCATGATTACAGATGTGAGTGCTACAGGGCGGTAGTCATTGTGGCATGAATGATGGTGGTCATTTTAAAACGTGGGGATTACAGACTGGGACAAGGAGAGGTTGAAATGTATTGTGAATATGCCTGCCAGCTGTTCTATACATGCTCTGAGAACGTGCCCTGGAACACCGCCGGGCCCCAGGCCTTGCGGGTGTTGACCTGATTAAAGACCTTACTCACGTCGGCCTCGGATCGCGAGATCACCCAATCCTCTGGGTCGGTGGCGGCCCTCACACCCGGCAGGATGTTGTTATTGTCGAAGCGTGCATAAAATGCATTGAGTTAGTCTTGTAGAGTGGGCAGATCACAGCTGGGTCTTCCTTTGTCATCCGTAATGGACTGTAGCCCCTGCCACATGCTGCAGGTGTCGGAGCCTGTGTAATCGGATTCCACCTTATTCCTATATGTTCCTTTTGCTCGTTTGATGACTCTGCGGAGGTCATAGCGTGACTTCTTGTACTTGTTCCTGTCCTCAGCCATAGTCTCAGGTTTGGTTTCAGATTAGGCTCAATGTCCTTGGGAATGGACTGATGACACTTCCTATCGAGCTAATCATCAAAATGACTAGAATGGAATGTGTAAAGTAGAGTAAAACACTGAAGCAGAGTTGAGATAGAGCTGAGGCTTGGGGGTAGAATAGAAACTAGGGTTATGCAGTGTTTTCCTTAAGCGCTGGCTGTCGGCTAAACAGCTGATAACAGACTAATTGTCGGCCGGCTACCTTTTCCACTTTTCATTTAAAAGTTTCAATTTGCTAGTCAGAAAAGTCTGTATATCCTTCTCCCACTAGAATGAACAGTATGCATCTCGTAGTGTTACAGTATATTGAAAGGACAGGCGCTTGTCAGTCATAAAGCGAGCGATGACAGGGACTGGTTTGTCAGTCTGTTGTCTGTCCTACCTCTCAGTACCGGTGTTATTTTTGTGCACTGTGGTTGGCTACAGTCAACTTTATTTTCACAGAGGAGGGAGAGCATGATGCTTCATTGACTCCTGTGAGTGAATGTACACGTAAGTGGCAATGATGAGTGGAAATCCACTTCATTATTGTTTTGTGGCACATTCATTTATTTTCTTTTGCGTGTTTCATAGGCCTATAGCCAGCCACGGAGTCGGTCTGCATAGGCCATTTACTGTTCGTTGATTGACGACCGAAGAGCTTGTGTTGACTAGTTTATAAAAGGTGTCCAACAGACTGAAACAAGTCTATCTCCTATATCCCTTTGCTATTCATAAATCATACAACGTAGTTATATGTCCGTGGTATCGCATCGGGACAAGTAAACTAAAGATCTTCTTTGTATTTTCCTAGGATTCAAAGCCCATGTCGAGACTTGCCAGTGACCGCTAAAGTTACTTGTCAGTGTAGACTAGTGATGGGTTGTTCGGCTCTTTTTGAATGTCTCTTTTAGGTGAATGGAACCAAATTGCATCGGTGAGAGAGCCATTCATTTGGCACACTAATTTGAATACTGGTAGGCTATTACTGCTTTATCTGCAGATAAATAATGAAAATATTCGATGAAGATGTTGAATCCTCACTGCAAGGAACAATAGGTAGTAGAGAGAGAGCCTCATTCTGCTCCAAAATATGATACAAGAAAACAGATTGAAGGTTATAAAAGCTAATGTCATGATACTTATATGGTATTATTAAAGATATTGATATAGGCCTACTGATTTGATTAAAGTGTTGACAATGGAGTAGTCAACTGCTGCTTTCTGTGTAGCAAAGCCCATGTTTAACACCTGCTTCATTCTTCAAATCATACCTGACTTTGTATAAAAATGGGGGTGCACAATCTGGCAGGGGTAATTTTTAAAACTATTTTCCTGCAATTCTATATAGTTTCAAAACAGGGAATCCATGTTTACTTGACAGAACACAACCTTTTTTCTTAGGTCTTTGCCACAGTAAACTAAATTGAAAGTGTAGACTAGATTTTGTTTTTGCCACAATAAATTAACTTGAAAGATTAGACTACTATTTCTAACTAGATTATTAATATACCGCCTTCCTTTCGTCAAAGTCCCACCCACAGTGATTGATTGACAGGTCTGAAACCCTACCAACTCTGTGACTCACAAACATACTGCCCCCTCCCCTGACAATGCCACGCACAGTGATTGATTAACAGGCCAAACTCTTAAAGGGATAGTTAAATTAAAAAAGAACACATTGGTTTTCCTGTGTCCACAGCAGCAGAGACAATGAAATACATAATTTGAACAACAAACATTGTGGCAATTCATATCTTGCAGTACAACTGTAAAAAGAAGACAGATTCAATGTTAAAAAGGGTTATCTTACTCAGAAAATAGTCCTGATCACATAGGCCTAGATGATAGCCAAAACAACTAACAGCACACTGAATTCATACATTGTCAGTAATTGTTATTGTAAAGTCGTTAAAGTATTCAATAATTTAGCGGTGTATTTCGGATGGAATCAAGGCATTAGAATGTACCAGAGGCCACCAAAATAGAGCACGTTCTGCAAAAAGAATCCACGCCCTGGCTGGCTCCTTTTTTTATTTGGCTGGCTACTCCATGTACTAATGGAAAACACTGGTTTGCAGTGTTTCCCTAACCATACCTCTGTTCCCCTGAAAAAAACAAAAAAAAGTGTCTAGATTTTGATTTGGAAAATACTTGCAGGGTTCTTCCTGCACAGGGTATTTTGGGGCGGGCCACCCAAAGGTTTTATCACGCCCACCACATATGCCTATTTTTTAGCCAGGAGAAACCTGGACTGGTTTAATGTGAAGGCATACTACAACTGGTACCCAAAGCTCTTACCTTTGGTAGCATATGCCTCGGCGATCATGGAGAGACGGTAGACAGGGGCTCCCACCAGCGCCAGCTCGTCCAGGGTCACTTTGCCATACTGGTTGATGGCTTCACTGTAGTCTCCCTCCACATAGGACAGCTTGGCCATTAACATACTGGCCTCTTGCATGTATTCCGGCTAAGCACAAAAGGTGAGAGAAGAGACAGATAGTGTGTAGCTAAATGTTGTTTTCTCCTGAACTCAAAGATGTGTAGCTAAATGTACATGTTTCAGAGAAAAAAAGAGGGCATAGAAGCTGCGTGAGGGAGTGATGCAGCGTTATGAGGTTATATCATTCAAAGGGGATTCTCTCAGTTTGGGAAAGCAGTGAGTGTAAAGCCAGATACTGATTAAACCAGTGTTACCTTTTACAGTATTAGAATACTGTCAGAAGTCTGGTAGTGCTGAGCGATTAACTGAAATTTCGGTTAGTTTTCATTTTTAAACAACTAATTGACCGACATCAGTTCAAATATTTCAATTCCATTTCGTTCATTTCTATTCTGTGAGCACAATGCACACATTGCACAGTTTCTCTAGATCCAGCTTGAACTGTGAGATGTAGTAGGGAGTTGTAGTTTCCAACAGGCCAATATTATACATAGTTTAACGCATAAAACCTGGTAAATAACTACAATGACCCGAATCCGCATAATTACGCATCTACTTGTCTGGTCTGTGTATTTTTTACGCCTGCTACGTTAGGTTAGTGTGAGGCAGACACAGAGAGGGAGAGAAGAATGCGCGATCATGGATATAGAGAGCACCTGTTGCTTCGCAAGGTATCTCTAACTGAAAATACATGATCTAAGTGATTAATAGTTGGTATTCAGGAGTCATAAATGTATGCCTTATTTACATAGAAGAACTACTAAAATAGTGATTTTGTCAGACAGCATAGGCAGCAGCTCTATAGAGATGAGATGACTTGGAATGAAATAATAAAGTTATCAAATAAAACAAATGCAATATACACAACAACTGAAATATCTTATTAAAGTAAAGTCATGTGAATAAATGATGGTTAATAAGTGATAAGCAGTAATGGGCAGTCACTACCATCATGGGACTTTTATTAATTGTTTTATTCTGCGTTGTCAAAGCGTTCAACCCAAATAATCGAAACCAAAGTCTAAAAACCGTGATTACTTTTTAGTAATCGAACCGAAACCGAACAGACCTCAAAAAGCACTAATCGCTCAGCACTAAAGACTGGACTACACTGTTATAAACACTGTTACAAGACTGAACTAGACTGAAAAGTGGACAGATGATGTATACTAATATAATGGCCATAGGTGAAGTCTACTGTGCTACATCAGCTACCTTGAGGTTCCCTCGGTCCAGGGCAGCGGTCAGGTGCTTGTGGACCTCCACCAGCCTGGGTCTTGGGCCCCTCGGGCTGGCCCCCTGCTTGATGGGGTTCTCCTTGATGTACTGCTGGAGCTTGGCCTCCCCCAGAAGCAGCTCCCCCAGGTCATCTGAAACACAGAGTTTAGACTATACATCCAGTATGCTTCATGACATGTAACATTAGACTACCCTCCAAGTTTAACAGGGTCGTGTGTTCCAATAGGCACCAAATGTAAGGAAACGGACTGAAAACAGGGAAGGACTACCTGACCTTGTCCAATGACAAACTTATTTTTGCTATGTTTTTCTATGATGTTCAATAATAAATATGACTTAGAACAGGCCACTGATTATTTACCAACTAGGCTAACTACCTGAGTCATATGTGGAATGACAACACACATCATGTTCCAATAATATATCACAGTGAAGACAGATCAGTCAACCCTGACTAACATGCAGATTCTCTAACAATCTGTACAATACTACAGCATCAGTATCCAGAAAAGTTGATAGGGGGGGTCATTCCATGTCATTTCAGCGAGCCATGACACCCATCATCTCAGATTGTTCTGAAGTCTAATTTGATCTCTGAGAAATCAAGCTAATTGATTGCACCCAAATTGGCCATTTTAATTTATAGGTTTCACATAATATTCAACAAATATAGTACCCAACATCTAATTTGGACCAAACTTATTCCTATCATTGAGTAAAATGGGTCAAAAGCTACCTAAGGGATAGTGACTAAAATGTTGTGACAACCCTAATAAAATAATATAATTATAAACCATTGCATGGCAGTCGTTTCTCAATAAAATTATTAGAAACATCTCTATATTTTTTATTGCTGGGCATAAAAAACTGTAAAAAGACCAGCAAATCCGCTCCAAGTGATTTTAATTTAGGAAATCTGTTCCAAAGCATTCCCAAGCATAATACAGAGCTACAGTTGAAGTCGGAAGTTTACATACACTTAGGTTGGAGTCATTAAAACTCGTTTTTCAACCACTCCACAAATTTCTTCTTAACAAACTATAGTTTTGGCAAGTCGGTTAGGACATCTACTTTGTGCATGACACAAGTAATTTTTCCAACAATTGTTTACAGACAGATTATTTCACTTATAATTCACTGTATCACAATTCCAGTGGGTCAGAAGTTTACATACACTAAGTTGACTGTGCCTTTAAACAGCTTGGACGATTCCAGAAAATGGATGTCATGGCTTTAGAAGCTTATGATAGGCTAATTGACATCATTTGAGTCAATTGGAGGTGTACCTGTGGATGTATTTCAAGGCCTACCTTCAAACTCAGTGCCTCTTTGCTTGACATCATGGGAAAATCAAAAGAAATCAGCCAAGACCTCAGAAAAAAATGGTAGACCTCCACAAGTCTGGTTCATCCTTGGGAGCAATTTCCAAATGCCTGAAGGTACCACGTTCATCTGTACAAACAATAGTACGCAAGTATAAACACCATGGGACCACGCAGCCGTCATACCGCTCAGGAAGGAGACGCGTTCTGTCTCTTAGAGATGAACGTACTTTGGTGCAAATCAATCCCAGAACAACAGCAAAGGACCTTGTGAAGATGCTGGAGGAAACAGGTACAAAAGTATCTATATCCACAGTAAAAAGAGTCCTATATCGACATAACCTGAAAGGCAAGGAAGAAGCCACTGCTCCAAAACCGCCATTAAAAAACCAGACTACGGTTTGCAACTGCACATGGGGACAAAAATCGTACTTTTTGGAGAAATGTCCTCTGGTCTGATGAAACAAAAATAGAGCTGTTTGGCCATAATGACCATCGTTATGTTTGGAGGAAAAAGGGGGATGCTTACAAGCCGAAGAACACCATCCCAACCGTGAAGCACGGGGGTGGCAGCATCATGCTGTGGGGGTGCTTTGCTGCAGGAGGGACTGGTGCACTTCACAAAATAGATAGCATCATGAGGAAGGAAAATTATGTGGATATATTGAAGCAACATCTCAAGACATCAGTCAGGATCTTAAAGCTTGGTTGCAAATGGGTCTTCCAAATGGACAATGACCCCAAGCATACTTCCAAAGTTGTGGCAAAATGGCTTAAGGACAACAAAGTCAAGGTATTGGAGTGGCCATCACAAAGCCCTGACCTCAATCCTATAGAAAATGTGTGGGCAGAACTGAAAAGGCGTGTGCGAACAAGGAGGCCTACAAACCTGACTTAGTTACACCAGCTCTGTCAGGAGGAATGGGCCCAAATTCATCCAACTTATTGTGGAAGGCTACCCACTGACCCACTGGGAATGTGATGAAAGAAATAAAAGCTGAAAGAAATCTCTCTACTATTATTCTGACATTTCACATTCTTAAAATAAAGTGGTGATCCTAACTGACCTAAAACAGGGAATTTTTTACTAGGATTAAATGTCAGGAATTGTGAAAAACTGAGTTTAAATGTATTTGGCTAAGGTGTATGTAAACTTCCGACTTCAACTGTATATGTGACCATATACAAACGTAAGCAATGCTTGAAATGATTATGTTTTAGTCAAATATCTGTTTGGGCTTATTGCAGTCAATTTGCAGTCTACAAATTTGTTGTAATTATGTTCCAGCCCCCTAACCATCCGCTCAAGAAAAAGAAAATCGGCCCGGGGCTGAATGTAGTTGATGATCCCTGCTATACAGTGTGTGTTTGGGACTTTTACCATTTGAAGACCATTAGAGACCATAACATTTAAACCATTAGAACTGCTATAGCTTAATGGTTAGCTTGTATGCAAGGAATGGTCTTAACTTATCCAGACCTTTTTTTAAGGGAATAAACTACACACAGAGGGGTTGTTTCCTGGACACAAATTAAGCCTAAAAGAAGAGCAAACTGAACTGCTTTCATGGAGGACTGGCTTGAATTGTGAGCATGACCATACAATTTATTTTCATCATGAGCAAAAGCTATTGCTTTTCAACCCTACCCAAAGTTGCAAAGAAAATGTTGTGATCCATTTAATGAACACAAGAGACCAGTAAAATGGATGTGGTGGCAGTAGCATGAACAGTGGCATCTAGTGGGCATAACGTGGTACTTTCCCACTAATTTATGGTAAATAGTGCAAGCGACTTCAATGGCTAATTTCTCTGAATTGAACTTCTCTGAACACAGGGAATAAATTACAAAAGATGAAGAAGCAATACTACAAGCAGCATCTCCGTACTACTTGTCAGCCATAGAAAACTGATACTGTATACTGGTTCTTGGGGTAGGATTGGCATGGGGTGTGGGGGTTCAGTGGGTGGCTTTTGATAATTTTATTGGATTCCTCATGTTTTACTCATTATTAGGAGGAATTATGGTCCACATTGGATGTTAGGTACTATATTTATTGAAGATTATATGAATCTTATAAATTAAAATGGCCAATTTGGGGGCAATCAACTATCTCAAATTATATTTCAACAAAATAATGTTTCAGGAATGCTAATCTTATCTGTTTCTAACTACATAAACGATTTCAGAACAATCTGAGATGGTGGGGTCGAAATCCTCTCGCTTGTGCTTTTAGAGGTGGAATTACTCAGGGATAAGAGAGAATAGAGAGCAATAGTAATGGCGTCTTTTTGTAGGCACTAACTTCGCCATGGTTCGTTGGATAAAGCCATTGGGGAAATGAATGGAGTTTGTGTACTGTTTTGGGATAAATGCCGAAAATAAGGTCTGTGTTGAACCCAGGCTTAGGAGATCTTTTACGTTTTGTTCTATGAGATAATCTTCATCAGCAAACCTCACTTTTTGTGAATTTTGTAGCATTTATGTAATCAAATAAAAAAACAAAAAGCACATAAAGGATTCATAAAGGTCATGTTAACTGACTGATACTATATAATAGAACAAAACATATAAGATCTCCTAAGCCTGTGTTAACCTCACACCTTATTTTCGCAGTTTATCCCAAAACCCTATTCTTTCCCCATAGGAATGGCTGAACGAACCAGAAGTAACTCATTTCCGGTTATTAGGACTACAAGCTGACAAGCTCTATGTAGGGAGGACCAAAACTGCTGGCTGGGACTGGGTAGGCGAACTCTATCAGTCTCCTTGATGCAAAAAGACTACTCACTACACATTGAGAAGCCTGGTGTGGTGCAATGTTTGTAGGGCGAGAAACAGATTATAGGCGTAGGTTTGTACAACAAGATTAGTAGTATTAGTGTTATTCAATCCCTCAATGCCTCGCTTTGTTGGATATTAAGGTGACCCATAGGCTAATCCAGTTTGTTAGGCGTTTAACTGGCCCATTATGCATGACAGGAGAGTGTGACCCTCTGGTCTGACAAGGGTGTCAGTTTACATCAACAAAACATACATTAATTCCAAAATATGATATTTCAAGGTGAAGTCAGCAATATGACATCATCATACCACTTTTTGCCCCGTGTAGCTCAGTTGGTAGAGCATGGCGCTTCAAACGCCAGGGTTGTGGGTTCGTTTCCCACGAGGGGCCAGTATGAAAATGTATGCACTCACTAACTGTAAGTCGCTCTGGATAAGAGCATCTGCTAAAATGACTAAAATGGAAAATGATACCAGATGAGTGACTTCCTGTTTACAGGGTTTCCACTAGTTACCACAGCCACAAAGTATATATCGTAAAATGTATGAAAAAAATAAATGTGCTTTTTTTTTAAGGTTAGGGTTATGCATACGGTTAGCAGTGTGGTTACGGCTAGGTTTAAAATTAGATTTTATGAAGATACATTTTAGAAATCGGTGTGGTTAATGACTTTGTGGCTGTGGTAACTAGAGACGACCAACAAACACCAACAGATCCCAAATCTGCCAAGACTGCAAATATTTCTCACCTCTTTGAGGCATACTCATTGGCCAAAGATTTCAATTGAGTTTTTGTTGATTTCATTAAGTAGGAAGTCGCCCCACTGTGTATGATGATGTCATTGATATGCAAGCCAGGAGTAGTCTACAAAGATTCTTAAAACTACTTTTATGGAGTCTACTGGTAAGATAGATAGCTAGCTAGCTCAGTAAAATATTTTAGAACACTATTTCCAGAGTGATAACGTTCAACCAGTATTCATAGTGCCGGGAACACTCTCTGCCCAAGTTTAGCTAGGCACACGGTAGCTAGGCTGGCTAGCCCTGGCTTAAATGACAGAAAACTGTCAAAACAGGAAATAGGAAGTGAGCGCGTATGCACACTCAAAGGAGCTTTGGGAATTCGCTAAATAGCTATAAACCATACCGGTGAGTTCAAGATCATTATTTCGTTTTTACAGACGACCTAGAAATGGCTGGCTAGCTGGAACCGACTCGCAATGGAAATTTCATTCACGTAGACGCGCTGACGTGGTTAAGAAAGCCCTTGGATTGTGCTCCCTGTCCAGGCCCCAAATCGCTGAATGAACGGCAGAGCAAAAGCAAATCACGAATCATAGACATATTTCTTACCGTTTGATATTAGTTTGGCAGACAGCTGCCGTACAAGCTCTGGTATCTTGTCCCATTGCCCTTCCGAACGGCATCGTTCTATCTCTGTCTCGAGTCGTGACCCAGACTTTCTCGCTGTCATCTTCAGACTCCGCTAAGAGACCAAAACACGACAGCTACGAATCATCAGCTGCGGCACGGGTTGGAAAAGTTCGTATTAGAAACAGCGACACCCACCGGTAGCTGTCACTCTTACATCTGTCAGATGTGGAACTGTCAATCTGTTTTTTATTCAGGTTTTATTTTCAAAAATGCATGTCAAGGATATATTCATAGCTATGTATTATTTCACCATGTTTACGTTTTGTTTAGCCAACTTTTCTAATGTTTACAATGTACAATCAGGCAATCATGATGAAATCGAAATACTTTAATATTTTTTTACATTTTTATTTATTTCATTTAACCTTTATCTAACTAGGCAAGTTAGTTAAGAACAAATTCTTATTTACAATGACGGCCTACACCAGCCAAACCCGGACGATGCTGGGCCAACTGGACCAATAATACCACACACATTTATATTGATACTTTATCCCAAAAGGCTTTAGGACAAGACGACTACTACATGCTGCAACCTTGCTTACAAACATATCCCTTCCAAGTCATTTTTAAGAAGAAAACAGTTCATTATTTTCCCACCAACATTCACATCAGTGAAGCTGCAACTTTTATCTATTGGAATCTCCCAACTACTACTACAGCTCTTTAGTAAAACCTGCTCAATATAAATGTTTTACTGCTGTAGAAATGTTTGCATAGACACTGACCTCAACAACTATACATGCCATGAGATTATGGAGAAGGTACGTGTAGAAAAATGATTTGCATTTCACTGGATCTTCTCAGAACATTGCTTGGGTTTTAAAAAATTCAGACAAAGTTTACAGAGAGCTTTCCCCTTTTTTTAAATATAAAAAATGCAGGCCCACTTTATTCTGTACATTAAAATAATGCTCCAGAGCTTTTGTATAATATGAGACAGTAGTTTTGAAAGTAGTTCTCATGAGCCAAAACAGGTCCCTGAAAATTGTGCACAATTGTGTTTTACGTCATCCATTTCATATGATATGTTACGAATTTGTAAGTGCTTAAAATCCCAGACTACATTTTTAAGACATAGTGGTTCTACTCTAGGCAACACACAGCATCTCAAAGTGCAGTATGAGTGTCATTAAAACAGACAGCAAGAAACAAATTAATACTAAATTGGAAGGTGTAAGACATTTAGCCAACTTAAAGATATACAGACAGTCATCTCAGGTACCCTACCAGTAATATAATAGGTGATTAAAAAAATACAAAAAGTATAACTGGCAGATCTAACAGTGTTGGTCCATTTACATTGTACATTTATCATATGGCTTTGAGCTACTGTTAAGGCAAACCTGTAGAAAAACATTTTCTCCATATCTGTTTTTATCTTGCCCACTAAAGATGGCATTGGAACATACAGTGAGCTCCAAAAGTATTCGAACTGTGACAATTTTTGTTGTTGTTTTAGCTCTGTACTCCAGCACTTTGGATTTTAAATTATACAATGACTAAGGTTAAAGTGCAGACTTTCAGCTTTAATTTAATTACGGATAGTCCTGAATGAATCGTGAATAATGATGAGTGAGAAAGTTAGACGCACAAATATCACCCCCCCCCCCCCCCCCCAAAAAAAAAAATGCTAACCTCCAGTTACTGTCATGGTGAGAGGTTCACATGTATATTTGTGCATCTATCTTTCTCACTCATCATTCAAGACTATCTGTAATCATGGTAGCGTCAACATTAATGTAGAAGTGTTTAGAAACATTCTATTCTTATTTACAATAAAAGTGACTCCAAAATGACACAATACATGACTTACCATTAATTTCTGTCGGGCACAAAATAATCTGAAACATAACCAAAACAAACAGCAAATGCATCCAACAAGTTTGTAAAGACCCAAGCTTGATGTAATCATTGCGTGCTAGGAATATGGGACCAAATATTAAACTTTTGACTACTTTAATACACATACAGTGAGGGAAAAAAGTATTTGATCCCCTGCTGGTTTTGTACGTTTGCCCACTGACAAAGACATGATCAGTCTATAATTTTTAATGGTAGGTTTATTTGAACAGTGAGAGACAGAATAACAACAAAAAAGTCCAGAAAAACGCATGTCAAAAATGTTATAAATTGATTTGCATTTTAATGAGGGAAATAAGTATTTGACCCCTCTGCAAAACATGACTTAGTACTTGGTGGCAAAACCCTTGTTGGCAATCACAGAGGTCAGACATTTCTTGTAGTTGGCCACCAGGTTTGCACACATCTCAAGGGGGATTTTGTCCCACTCCTCTTTGCAGATCTTCTCCAAGTCATTAAGGTTTCGAGGCTGACGTTTGGCAACTCGAACCTTCAGCTCCCTCCACAGATTTTCTATGGGATTAAGGTCTGGAGACTGGCTAGGCCACTCCAGGACCTTAATGTGCTTCTTCTTGAGCCACTCCTTTGTTGCCTTGGCCGTGTGTTTTGGGTCATTGTCTTGCTGGAATACCCATCCACGACCCATTTTCAATGCCCTGGCTGAGGGAAGGAGGTCCTCACCCAAGATTGGGTGGCCCCGTCCATCATCCCTTTGATGCGGTGAAGTTGTCCCGTCCCCTTGATACGGTGGGGATGGTGTTCTTGGGGTCATAGGCAGCATTCCTCCTCCTCCAAACACGGCAAGTTGAGTTGATGCCAAAGAGCTCCATTTTGGTCTCATCTGACCACAACACTTTCACCCAGTTCTCCTCTGAATCATTCAGATGTTCATTGGCAAACTTCAGACGGGCATGTATATGTGCTTTCTTGAGCAGGGGGACCTTGCGGGCACTGCAGGATTTCAGTCCTTCACAGCGTAGTGTGTTACCAATTGTTTTCTTGGTGACTATGGTCCCAGCTGCCTTGAGATCATTGACAAGATCCTCCCGTGTAGTTCTGGGCTGATTCCTCACCGTTCTCATGATCATTGCAACTCCACGAGGTGAGATCTTGCATGGAGCCCCAGGCCGAGGGAGATTGACAGTTATTTTGCGTTTCTTCCATTTGCGAATAATCGCACCAACTGTTGTCACCTTCTCACCAAGCTGCTTGGCGATGGTCTTGTAGCCCATTCCAGCCTTGTGTAGGTCTACAATCTTGTCCCTGACATCCTAGGAGAGCTCTTTGGTCTTGGCCATGGTGGAGAGTTTGGAATCTGATTGATTGATTGCTTCTGTGGACAGGTGTCTTTTATACAGATAACAAACTGAGATTAGGAGCAATCCCTTTAAGAGTGTGCTCCTAATCTCAGCTCATTACCTGTATAAAAGACACTTGGGAGCCAGAAATCTTTCTGATTGAGAGGGGGTTAAATACTTATTTCCCTCATTAAAATGCAAATCAATTTATAACATTTTTGACATGTGTTTTTCTGGATTTTTGTTGTTGTTATTCTGTCTCTCACTGTTCAAATAAACCTACCATTAAAATTATAGACTGATCATTTCTTTGTCAGTGGGCAAACGTACAAAATCAGCAGGGGATCAAATACTTTTTTCCCTCCATGTAAGTGAATTTGTCCCAATACCTTTGGTCCCCTAAAATGAGGGGCTATGTACAAAAAGTGCTTTAATTTCTAAACGGTTCACCCAATATGGATGAAAATACCCTCAAATTAAATCTGACAGTCAGCATCTTAACCTCAGTCATTGTATCATTTCAAATCCAAAGTGCTGGAGTACAGAGCCAAAACAACAACAAATGTATCAGTCCCAATACTTTTGGAGCTCACTCTAATTATATTTACACCTACAGACACACACGTGACATGATACAATTAAGAGGACCCAAACCTATCTCTTCAAATTAACCCCCCCCCCAAAAAGAGAGTATTTCATATAAATGGTCTTTTAAGTATAGATAACACGCCATTCAGACTTCTTTGTACTATAGAAAATATCAAACTGGGCAAAAGATGGCACCATGGGGGTCTTTGAAGAGCTTTGGGGAGGGACAAGGAGTGGTGCAAGTTGACCTGTGGAATTAGGAGTGTTTGATGGTGTATTTGCCTTTCTGGAGTTGAGATATGTACAGCTTAGATTTGCTGCTGTCAAGTCGTTTAAACCACACCTCGCCATGGTTATTATGGCACTGTGGACAGAGGGGGGAGGAGAAGATTAAAGGGATTTGCCAATTTATCTACTTCCCCATAGTCAGATGAAATCGTGGATACCATTTTTGTCTCTGCGTGCAGTTTGAAGTTGCTAACTAGCGTTAGCACAATGACGAAGTCTATAGTAACTTCTAACATGCTAGTACATACCATTGATTTTCAGTCATTGCGCTAACACTAGTTAGCATTGGCTCACGAAACTACCTCTAACTTCCTTCATACTGGATGCAGAGACAAATGGTATCCATGAGTTCATCTGACTGGGGAATTAGATAAAGGGCTTCATTGCCAAAATCCCGAAGTATCCAATGTTTTTGAAATTATGAAATGGTTAGACAAAGGACATAACAAAATAATACTTTGCATCACAAAAATAATACTTCCCCAGGATGTCGGCATCCTCACCTTTCTTGTCAATGCAAATCGTCTGTCCACGGCAGTACCATTCTCCATCATAAAACAACTTTCCCTCTTCTGATCGAGCATTATGCTGCTGCTTTTCATTCTTATTGGTGGAGACTGGAATATAATGTTTGGTGGAAACAAAAAAGAGTTGTTAGTCACAAAGACACACTTCCAAGTTAGTGTAGTAACGTCTTATAACTTATCACTTATACTTGTTCATGTTAAATTGTGTTTATTTATGTATGATGCATTTATGATTTGGTTTAGAAAATCAAAAAGGCAGGAAGGGATGAGGGACAGGATCTCAGACAATAACAGAATAGAGTGATGACACATTACAGCACAATTATTTAATTCAAAAGAGAAGTTGAGTCTTACCATTAGTCTTACCTCTGTGAGGTCCAAAAGTAGCCACAGCCTGTAAGATATATATTTATTAAAATATGATCATAATCATCATAAATCCAAACCATGCTATGCATCTACGAGGCAAGGTACCTTTCTGATTGCTGTTCAGTCCTGGAGTTTATCCAAGTCTTTTAACATGTAGATAATATATGGTGGTACGAATGTTAAGTAAATTCTAGTATGTACAAGGAAGTGGTGTGGGGGGGACAAGTAAAAGTACACATGACAACAACAGACTAAGATTGTTCAAAAAACCATCTTGCATGCAAGACTAATTTCTGTTGAGACTTGAATGATGAAATAGGATGTCTGACACAACTGGCTTTTTATTTTTGTCTGGACTAAATGGATCTTTCCTCTTGTTCTTCCTTGACTGCAGCTCATCATTCCAGAGCTCTGTGTGAGAAAATAAGGGTCAATGAGGAGAGGGAAGATTAAGACATGGCACTTTCAGCTAATTTCCTGGACACAGACTAAGCCTAATCCTGGACTAACAGGCAAGCTCAATTAATAATTTCCATTGAAATAGCATTTCAGTCCAGCTGGGTTATGCACGCTAGTGGCTCTAGTAATGACTTGACGGTACCCGAGGTTATATCGATACTGTGCCTGTCCTCCTCCAGACGCCTGATCTTTGCACTGTATCAAACAATAGCAGCTTCTCACTTAGACATCAATGAAGGAATCAATGAATAAGGTTACAATGAACATAAATTAAAACACTGTACAAATAAATCAATTAGACAGAGGTTTTAAGATGGACATGGGCACTTTCAGAACAACTTAAAGAGCCCCCAGTAGATCCCTGGGAAGGAAAATAATTTGTCAGTATACTGTTTATGCAATTTCCTTCGTCAACTTTTGCATGATAACTAGGAAACCTTTATTTCACTGGTGTTCAATGCCGCAGCAATTTGTGAAACCAGTTTAAGGCTACATAAATAATGTGATCCAAAGATTACAGTCTTACCCGCAACCTTTGTTCTGATCTGCATGTTCTCCTGCAGATTTGCCAGAGGTCCAGGTACTCCGAAGCCTTGCCTGCAATCACCTCCTGGAGTTTAGCATCCACCTGACTCAACCTATCCTTGTACAACCTGAACAGAAACAACATTGGTTACAATTGGTTAACCTTAGCTACACTCATCTGTTTGACACACTGATGGAATTTAGAACAATATTTATAAGTCCAATGTAAATCAGTGACTTACTGGTCTTTCAGGTCTCCAAATTGTTTCTCCAGATTTGTCATTTCATCAAGGCACTATATCCTTCTCCTTTCACAGTCCTCATCGTCCATCTCTACTATGCATGCATGATGTCCAATATACCAATGAAACACATTAGCTGCATTTATAACATGTGCAGTTATGCAAATCACTTGTAGCTTACAAACTGAGTTGGTAAAACTATTCTTACCCGAGCTATCCCCATCCTCTGACACGGACAAGCTCAGTGTCATCCTCGTCTGAACTGCTCCCATCTTGTTCGGGATAATCGACTTCCATCTCCTCGTACCGGTTACTCTCTTCCTTTTCTCGAGAATGTACCGGCATGTTGTCTTCCTTGCCTGGATTTTTATCAGAATTGTTGTATCAATGTCAGATAAAATGGGACCTAGCCATAACAATGCTAGCTAGTTCAAAACCTAATTAGTTCAAAACTTGAACTTACGTTACCTTTTAACTGGTAACAGAGTAATTTTCTTCAAACATGTTACTTCCAACAAAAGATAGGTAGCTACAAATCGTTGTAAAAACTGTTAGCTAGCTAGCTAGAGAATAAAACCGACAAAACAGAACCACCTAAAATTAACGTTAGCTGATATTAACGCTAACTAGCTTTCGAAAACCACACCGGACAGGAGTACATCGGATGACATTAATGTCGGAGAAAAAAAAAAGAATCAAATGTGTCGCTTAATGAAAGATAAATAAGAAACAATATAGTTGTTTGTCCGATTTAATAATAGCGGTAAGCTTTGATGCGAACGCTAGCTAGACTTAGCCAGCAAGCGTCCAAGCTAAAAACAAACAATAAATGTGGTTCACCTGACACTGGGGGTCGTCACTGACTAGTTGCCACAAAGTCATAATTATGGTTAAACCCCGCCTATTTTTATTTATTTTTACAATTTATCTTCTTAAAACCTAACCTTAACCCTAACCTTAACCACATTGCTAACCTTATGCCTAACCCTAAATTAAGATCAAAAAGGGAATTTTTTGTTTTCATACATTTTTACGGTGGCTGTGGTAACTAGTGACAATCGTTCTGGCGCGTGGTTGACGTAGTTTCGATGCTAGGGAATTGTAGTTTCTTTACAACTACTTCACCATGAAGTAATCGTACGAAAAGGGAGGAATCAAACTACGTTCTTCAAGGTTTGACAAAGCAGCACACCATCCCCACTGGACACCTCGTTAGACCATACAAATCAAATCAAGAAAAGTTGAGATGAGAAAATGGTCTCGAATTTTCAATTAATATGCTGATAATTCAAGCCTAAGTGAAACCTTATGTAAGTAAATATCTAGTTACACTACTTTCACTTTGCTAAATTAGCTTTCAGATCACCACTGAAATCACAACAGGGGAAAGCGATGTGGTTCATGGCGTCAGGTAATGTGCCGTTACCTGTCCAGTTCCAATCAAATCAGTGCATTTGAAGAAAGGGAGTCAGGGACCCTCTTCTATCCACACCCTAGTTACTGTTGCCTCCCCTGTCCAGCTTTTGGCACCGCTTTGGTCTCTCTTTCTCTCTCAAATTCAATATGCTTTAATGGCATGAATGACAAGGTCAATGTTGCCAAAACGAAGTGATACACATAAAAATATGAAAACAACAGCAATAACACACTCTCTCTCTCTGCCTCTTGTTAGATAGAACACAGACAGAAGGCTGACAGATCAGCATGATTTAAACACTTGAAGAAAAAGCCATCGATTCACTTTTCCATATAATGTGAAACTTTTGCTTTTTCATTGAGTGGTCTTTGAAATTAAAATTTCATATTGCTTTCTTGCTTGGGCAACATTATGCCATTTATACGGTTCTGACTGTAATGTACAATGTTTTAATGAATCAAACCAGCCACTACATTATTTGCCTACCAGATTGCGGAGTTGAATTGCTCTGATTTCCATTAGCTTGTTTTTCATATCTCAAGCTCCGCCATGTTTTGAGATTTTTGGGAGAGGTGTGTTGGTTGGGTTGCGGAGGGTAGCAACATTTTACATACGCCTTTTTCTGCAAAATGCACACCTCTCAACGATTTTTATCTATTTATATACATTTTATCGTCCATAAGACTGTTAGGTCGCAGTAACGTTACATCAAATGAAAACGGACCCACAGCTCACTTGTGGTTAGCTAACGTTTGAAGAAGATTATAAGGGGCTTGTACCCTCCTACACATTCTTTCGTCTCCTGCTTTCGGAATGTTTTCCAAAAAGCCTCATGGGGACGTCAAAAAATCTACACAGAAAGTATTGGATCCAAAAAAAGATGTGCTGACACGTCTGAAACACCTGCGGATCGTTAGTGGTAAGTCGAAATTAGACATTTTGTCGGCTAGCTAGCTAGGCTATACAATAGCTTGATACTACAGCTAAACCAAAGCTACCGAAGCGAGCTCGCGACTTTTATCTGTTGGTGCAGAGTAACTAACATACCTTGGTTTGTTACTACTCCATCATTGGACAGATTGGAAGCGTACAGTTGTAGCTAGCCATTATAGAATATGTTTTGTTGAATTGCTATGTTTGAAATGAATTTGGTGTGCTGAAATAATGTGTGGCAAACAATACAAGTGATGTCAAAGCAATATGGTTGCATACTGATTGTAATCAGTGGTTTAGGATGGTCCATATCTATTATATTCTGCAAAGAAATCGAGATGTCATCCATGTTTTGATATACAATCACATTTGTCAGCAGTCCTTTATTCCTGTCTTGCCACTTGCCTGCCTTATGCTCAATTTGTGGACTAAAGATGGGACATACAGTGCCTTCAGAAAGTATTCATACCCCTTGACTTATTCCACATTTTGTTGTTACAGCCTGAATTCAAAATTGATTAAATATGTTTTTCTCACCCATCTACACACAATACCCCATAACGCCAAAGTGAAAACATGTTTTTAGAAATGTTCAAACTTTCAATGGGATTCAAGTCTGGGCTTTGGTTGGGCCACTCAAGGACTTTCTTGTTATGAAGCCATTCCAGCGTTGCTTTGGCTGTATGCTTGGGGTCATTGTCCTGTTGGAACGTAAATCTTTGCCCCAGTCTAAGGTTGTTTGCATTCTGAAGCAGGTTCTCAAGGATTTGCCTGCATTTGCCTCCATTCATTGTTCCCTCTATCCTTACCAGTCTCCCAGTCCCTGCTGCTGAAAAGCATCCCCATAGCATGATGCTGCAACCACCATGTCTCACGGTAGGGATGGTGTTAGACGGTGATGCGATGTGCCTGGTTTTCTCCAGACGAGTTCCATTTTTGTTTCATCAGACCACAGAATAATTTGCCTTATGCTCGGTCTTTCATGTGCCTTTTTGCAAACTCAAGGCGTGCTGTCATGTGCCTTTTCTCAGGAGTGGCTTCCATCTGGCCACTGTCCCATAAAGCCCAGATTGGTGATGTGCTGTAGAGACTGTTGTCTGGCAGATTCTCCCATCTCAGCCAGGGAACTCTGTAGTTCTTTCAGAGTGGTCGTTAGGTTTTTGGTAACCTCCTTGACCAAGATTCTTCATGCCTGGTTGCTCAGTTTGGTTGGATGGCCAGCTCTAGGCAGAGTCTGTGTAGTTCCATATTTTTTCAATTTCCCAATGATGGAGACCACTGTGCTCTTGGAAACTTTCAACACTCTAGAAATGGTTTTATACCCTTACCCAGATATATGCCTCATTCTAATTCTATCTCGGAGATCTACGGACAGGTTCTTGGACTTCATGGTATAGTTTCTGCTCTGACATGCACTGTCAACAGTGGGACCTTATATAGACAGGTGTGTTTCATTCTATACTGAACAAAAATATAAATGCAACATTCAACAATTTCAAAGATTTTACTGAGTTACAGTCAATTGAAATACATTCATTAGGCCCTAATCTATGGATTTCACAAACGATCCCGCAGGTGAAGAAGCCGGATGTGGAGGTCCTGGGCTGGCGTGGTTACTTACACGTGGTCTGAGGTTGTGATGCTGGTTGGACGTACTGCCAAATTCTCAAGGATGATCATAGGAAATTGGATGCACCTGAGCTCAATTTGGAGTGTCATAGCAAAAGGGTGTGAATACTTATGTAAATTAGATTTCTGTATTTTATTTTCAATAATTTGCACACAAAAAATGTCAAATAAGTTTTCGCTTTGTCATCATGGTGTATTGTGTGTAGATGGGTGAGACATTCTTTTATTTAATCCATTTTGAGTTCAGGCTGTAACGCAACAAAATGTGGAATAAGTCAAGGGGTAGGAATACTTTATGAATGCACTGTATACTAGAACCAGATTGGAGATATCATCCAATTAATTGAGGGAGTTCATCAAAGAACTGACTGCACGACAGTCAGGCCAATAGGGGTCTGTTTGGAGGATGGTCTTGGCTCTGTCAGTGACGCTGGGTGGACCCTGTGAACAACAGCAAATTTAAACTGGGGCTTCCTTTGGGATTTGTCAGTAAAGTCAGTCAGAAGGTGTGTTCGAATACCCATACTAGCATACTGTATACTACATACTTAATGAGTGTATATACTACATACTATATACTATTAGTTCATTTTAGTATACTGTAAACTAACGGTATCCTTTCAGTTGAGCGTACTAGCGATTTGCCTGTCTACCGGAAGTTGATGCTGTTGCTATGCAACCCCTTGCTAGCTTGTTAGCATAACAAATTACTAGCTAGACTTCTTATGACTTCGGGTGTGTTCGTAAATTCAATCTGAAGAGCCAGAGTGCGCTCTGGGCGTTCGTAAATTCAGAGCGTTGTCAGATTGTCCATTCGTAAATTCAGACCGTTCAGAGCGCACACTGCCCGCACTGGCCGAGGAGTAGGGTTGATCCGAGCGTTCTGACCTCAATGGCAGTCAAGCACCCAAGCTAACTGGTTGAAGTTGGCTAGCTTGGTCGCAAATGGGTCTTCCAAATGGACAATGACCCCAATCATACTTCCAAAGGTGTGCCAAAATGGCTTAAGGACAACAAAATCAAGGTATTGGAGTTGCCATCACAAAGCCCTGACATCAATCCTATTGAACATTTGTGGGCAGAACTGAAAAAGCGTGTGCGAGCAAGGAGGCCTACAAACCTGACTCAGTTACACCAGCTCTGTCAGGAGGAATGGGCCAAAATTCACCCAACTTATTGTGGGAAGCTTGTGGAAGGCTACCTGAAACGTTTGACCAAAGTTAAACAATTTAAGGCAATGCTACCGAATACTAATTGAGTGTATGTAAACTTCTGACCCGCTGGGAATGTGATGAAAGAAATAAAAGCTGAATAAATCATTCTCTCTACTATTATTCTGACATTTCACATTCTTAAAATAAAGTGGTGATCCTAACTGACCTAAGACAGGGAATTTTTACTAGGATTAAATGTCAGGAATTGTGAAAAAACCGAGTTTAAATGTATTTGGCTAAGGTGTATGTAAACTTCCGACTTCAACTGTAGTTAATATACTGTTAATATACTGTAATATACAGTTCGATGTGTTAGTAGCCAACTAACGTTAGGTAGCTAGCTAACACCTGTGCATACTGCTGTAATGATATACGGTTCATAAGGATAGCGTAACTAACAAATTGTCAGCCAACATAACGTGTAACTTATTTGAAAAGTCATTACTTTATTAAATTTCTCAATTTTCTTAACGTTTGTCATAATTAGTTAAAGCAATGAATTTGTATCCGCTCTCGTCGTACTTTGGCTGCATATTTTCCACAATTTTCTTCAAATCTGAAAAAGTTGTGAATCCACGCCCATTATCTGAAGAATTGTATTATGCTTGTATACTTCGTATTTTTGCGAATGTAGTATGACATCCGGGAACTTTTGGCATACTAACTATATCCATACTTTGACCAATAAGCATACTACATACTCCATTTACGTCACAAATAGTAGGATTAGTGCTATTAGTATGAGTATTCGAACACAGCTCTAGAGAGTGCAGAGTCCTACTGGACAATTCCGCGGTAAGCGTGATGCTGCAACTTCACTTAAAAATGTATGTCAAACAAAAACTAATTATTACAAAGTTAAACAAACCATACAACTCTATGCACAAGGACTACTATTTCCACAGAACATTTTACTAAAACACATTTACTTGAAGAACAGTGCAAATCAAAAGTTTAGTTACAGAATGACAGTTTGCAAATGACGGCACCAACAGCACAATCATTGTTTTTTGTTTGGCATACATTTTAAAGTGAAAAGTCTGAGTCTCAGAATCACTTTGTTATCGTGGAATTGCTATACTGTATTCCCAAAGGGTCCTGAGTTTAAAGCCACAAGCCCCCTTGTTGCATGGTCTGTTCCAAGGCTTTTTTAATATGATCTTGAGAGGAAATGGAATAGATGGTTGAATGTTGGTTGAAAAATATGAAAGCTTCATGGCATTGTGACTTGTGAGTGAAATATTGCCGTTCCATCTCATGAACCCATTTCCTCTATTGTGTTCAATGCAGTTACCAGGTTTCCTGTTTCCATTGTCCCCCAGTACAGCAACTACTGTGGGAGCACAGACTGTCATCATGTCATTGTGCTGCTGTGCCAATAGCAGAGGTTGGAGAGGCATGTGTGTGCTGCTGAGAGACAGCAGAGCCACATACTGTGTTATAATGTAATGTGTTTAAATGAGATGTTAGGCCTAGCATTTCGTATTATTGGTTGTTGCTGAATGAAGAAAACAACATTGTCGAGACTAATTAATGTAAAACTATAGTTTAATATCACAACTGTAGTAGCTAGCAAAAATATGCTAATTTTGACAGTCTAAAGACATGACTTGAGTGCTGTGCTTTAGCTAGGTAACTGTAAAAGCACATTTTATTTCAAAAGTAGAAGTATTGTTCCCTGGTTTTTAGTGCTGCACACAGTGTACACCTAGAGTGGCTTTAGTTTGCCAAGGAGGAGGGAGTAGGCTAGGAACTGCACTCTGTGGAAAGTGGATGGGTGTGCCCTGACCCGCTCACTATCCATGGGGAATTTCAGGCCCAGATAAGAATAAAACAATCATGTTGAGGATATAGGCTAGGCCTAATGGAGAGAAGTGTGGCTACCTGACCATAATGGCAGCTGATCAACAGAGGACAAGCTTCAGGCATGACGCCACACATGATGTGTAGCCTATGCTCAGTCAGTGTTTCCCTTAGCTTAATCAACATCCAGGGCTTCTTTAAAGTAAATGTCCAGTGTTTCCAGATTTCAATGAAATATGATGTACAATAAATAAGAATGTGAGTGAAATAGGTTTCCTTCTAAAAAATTGCAATTAAGTATGTCAAAAAGCAGCTTTTCTGTGTTGGAATGGTGTGGGCGAACCCCAACAACAGAATGGTGTGGGCGTATACCGGTCATTAAAAATATTCATGCGAGTAGACCGCTCATTGGCCAGCTAATCCTCCTCAGGAGGATGACATAGCACGTTTTTTGTAAGTGTTTTTTTCCCCCCTCCAATTTATGCTTTGGCCACATGAGTATAGGATGTGTCAACAACATTTGGGTATGCGTTAACAGAATATTAACTTTTAAAAGTGAGATTTTCACTGGACAGTTACTTTAACCAACATCTTCAATTAAAATAAACCAAAAGAGGGGTGGGGGGTCTAGTTATTATTAAATGTGGATAATTTCAAGCAGCTGTAGGCTAAACATTATGGCAAATGGCAAGTGGTAGCCTAACTCACAACAATATATGCCTGTCTGTGTCTTTGGGAATGAAGAGTTGATAATGTCAAGTCAACGCCCTGTCCTTTTATTGCCCTTTATTTACAGTCAGATGCTGCTTAATTCTATTAGCCTATCAGAGAGCAGCTCTAGACATCGGTGGACATCACGCTACCAAAATTAGGCTGTAACTATCCAATGCTCTCAATATTATTATTATTAGGATATCTTGAAGTTAGCTATTTCATTAAATGAATGATGCCCTCTTCTGTTGTGTATGGAACTACCATATTGTGTGTCCCAAATGGCACTCTATTCCCTATACAGTGCAGTACTTTTGACCAGAGCCCTATGGTAGTGCACTGTATAGGGAATAGGGGGGCATTTGGGGGCAGCCATAGTGTTGTGTCGGAGCCAGGCACTGGTCTGGATGCATCATTAGCTTTGAATGGCCCATGGTACTAGTACCACCACCATGTCAAAAGAACAAATCCAGACAGACAATGTGTATGGTTGGACCCAGTCAGTGTTCCCAATCACAGTAGTATGATCACGTGCTATAGACGGAGGCTTGGCATAGTTCAGTGCTGCTGATTACATTCTTCATGTAAACATAACCAGAGATTAGCCTCCTAAGTGTTCTTACCCGCCTGATGCTGCTCTCTTCCACACACTGTATGCTTCCCAAATGGCACCCTATTCCCTATAGTGCACTACTTTTGACCAGAGCTCTGGGTCAAAAGTTGTGGATAGGGTGCCATTTTAGATGCAGCCACTAGCCTATCTGATAAGGAGACTTTTCTCTTCCGTGTGTTCTATTTTGGAGCTGGAATAGTGGTTCTGCCTGCTGCTATCTCAGAAGAGAAAGTAAACAAGAACATGTCCCCTTCCCTTCCCCAAGCTAGGCTATTGTTCAGGACAGAGCAGTTCTGGCACACAACTGGGCCAGCTGAGGAAGCTGGATTACGAGAGAGGGGTTCCGTTTTAGGATTCTTTGGATGTGTGTCTGTGTGTTAACTTCAGTTTGGTAGATAGGTCATATTCCTATTGACAAGATTACTGTCTGACAAGTGTAGCTCTTCAGCCAGGCCATGTCAAAATTAGTTACTAGTGTCACCTTTGGCCCAAAATGTTTTTTTTTCTTCATGTTGGTTTGGTTGGATATGTCTCAGCCGTTCTTTGTCCTGCACCAGTCTCAAACTGAACCTCCATCCGTCCTGGCTTTTCTATGAGGGAACGGAAGGCTTATGGCCCAGAGGAAGCGACAGCAGGCTGGTCATGGGATGCGCTGAGCGGTGTTGCAGTGATGGAGATGGACTGTCATAGAGAGCGGCGTTAGGGTTAGGTTGTTTAGAAGAGGTGTCTGAGCTTTGTGTAATGTTACTGTAAGGGTAGCCTACACATATTGTCTTGTGTTTGGCTGCAGTTCAGAGCCTGTCCCATCAGTTATGTGAGATATGCGCCATAGCCCTTAGAGGTCAGAGAAGAGCTCCTGGAGCCTGTCTGTGTGTGTGGCACCAGTGAGGGAGAGTTTCCAAAATTAGTCCTCAAGAAAAATTGGTTCTCAACTTCTGAGTCACTGCTATAGGCCTAGTATTTTTCTAATGATTCAGACAAGAGGAAATAAATAACTGTTGGAAGTATCTTACAAAAGGTTTGCTAAATCACACATCCTCTCTTCCTGTCTCTCCCCTGACTCATCCATCTTCTCCTCTGGTCTGTTCAGGATTACAGGGGTAAATCATGTCACGGAGGATTTAAAAGCATCTTCCCTGAGATTCTCCAGTGTTCAGTAAGACTGGAAAGAAAGGGAGGACACATTATTCCATGTGTCTCCCTGTTCCTGTTCTGTTTTCACACTGGCAGGCTTCTCGACACTGTCTTGGCAACGTCCTCCACAAGACCCTCCCTGGCTGATTAGTGTGTAAATGAATTAAGAGTGGGCAGCAGGCAGATCCTCAAGGCTAATTCAATAACGTTGTTCTACTGACCAGCCGACGCTCAGCCAGGGGTCAGAAGCCTCTGAGCGTCTCTCCCTATTGTGTGTGTGTGTGTGTGTGTGTGTGTGTGTCAGGGTTTCCGTTAGCAAAATGTGGCACCGGACATTTGACTGACAGCATTTTAATTTACTGGACATTTGAGAAATGTACCTGACACATATGCATTGTGCTCAGAATGACAGAAATCACATTTTAGATAATGGTAATTCATATTAACAGAACATGCAAGTCGAGGATGCAATAATGTGCGGTCCTTCTTACCGACTTCTGATGCGCACTTTAAAGATAATAGAATAACTGTCCACATTTACTTTTTCTCAGCCAACAAGATGCGTAACGAACAGCAAAGTCACTAGCCTCTGTCAATGTACTATCCCCCATAGTAGAAAAGTGTAGCTATTCTATTAGTCAGCTTGTCGAGAAAGACATTCCAAACAGACTGGGACAGTTGTGGGGTGATAGCCTAGATCCCAAATTCATCCAACCAGTAGGCCTAGGCTACATAAAGAAAAGTTAAAAAGCAATGAGTCTGGTGCAACAGATCAGAACGTTTAGCTTAAAATGTTGATAAACTATTATTTATTTACATAAGTGTAGCAATGCGCACAAGGCAATAGGGTTTGCGCGAGAGTGTTCGTTCCATAATGCAATTAATGGGAAAACACAGTTGTCAAAGCACCGCGCATACCAGCTGTTTCCTGTGACCGAGATGAAAAGATCAGTTAGAAATGTAGAAAGGGGGGAGATCCAATATGCAACAACTAGCATGGGTTGCTAATATAACTAGGATTGTGCATTTGGCTACTGGACAATAAAATAAAGTTGATATAAAATAATTGCCTCCACGGATATGGTCTGATTTTGGCTAGGCTAATTTGAAGCAAGGTAAGAAATGCCTCATAATATGTAGTAAAACGTTCAGGTTTCAAACAATTAAATATATGTTTTCAAAATGCGTACTGCCTCCAGCTCATTGCAAAGTGGTGTGTGACGTGCTAATGAAGTCTACCTTCCGTTGCCTATGCATTTGCTGTTTTAAGATGCTGTAAGCAGCTCTTGCACTCTCTGACAGATTTTCCGCTCAGACTCTATCTTTATGCTGTACTCGTGTGATAAATAAGAGCCTACATAATGAATATACTGTAGCCTACAGACACGCCAATTTAATTCCACAAAATTATGCAAATGAACCTATAGACCGATAAGCATGACCAGTCAAATGTATTTCCATCAGTGAATAGGCGACAAATTATTATTTCGCAATGAGATTGTTTTCTTCTTCTCTCTGACAATTGACCGGTGGCGATTTTATTTTTTGGCTTTTCAAAAAGAAAAAAAAATGTCCAAAAGCCAGCTATTACTGGCTAACGGAAACCCTGGTGTGTGTGTCCACTCAGACAGGACAGTGCCAGGGGTCAGGTGCCTTTGAGTTTTCCCCCCAATTATCACCATCCATCCGAGTTTGTGTGTCACATGACAGACTGTAATTAGTGTGTGTGGAAACACTCGTCGGTCAGTTGCTATTCTCTGAGCATTGGCTGAAGACTTCAAGGTCACATTGCTAAGTGTTTATTGTCCACCATCAACACTGCTGTTGTTGTGGAAGTGTGTTCTTAATTTGGGTTAATAGCCCCTCCAGGCGGATAGCTCTGAGGTGAATGATAACAGGTGGGAAAAATGACTGAGAAGAAGCAGTGACTGGCTGACTCCACTTTTGAAGTACAGTTCTAGCTACAGTAGGGCCACAAGCTTGTCCTGACCATGTGACCTGACCTGTCTCTCGCTCTCTCTCTCTCTCTGCAGAAAATGCTGAGTCGGGGGATCTGAAGCACTTCTTTGACCAGTACTACTCTCACATCTACTATGTGTTCTTTGAGAACTTTGTCACCATTGAAGTCAGTCTCAAACAAAAAGGTGAGAATACAAGGTCAATAATATCTGGTTGGTTGGCCTGAATGTTATTTTCACAGTATTATTACAGGATTCTTTACGGTCGCTAGTCATTGTGACACAGGTATTGTTTCAGCCACTTCCTCACATTCACTTCTCTTTTGTAGGTCACAAATCGCAAAGGGAAGAACTTGACTCCATTCTATTCATATTTGAGGTAAGATGGTTACTTCTGCAATATTGAGAGGTTGTTTTAAATGAGTGTCACAATTCTTGAGAGTGATGGCATCGGACTTGATTGGTCGATAATACACAGAATTCATAAAAAGTAGAATGTAGTAGGTGTAACGGAGGGTTAGCCTAAGCAGGTTAGTGTGAAGGCTACTGTAAATCAGAGATTCGGGTGCTTCTGAGTGTTTTCTAAAGTTGTCTTGATAACTCCTCAATCCCCGTGTGTGAAATATCCCCCAGACCTTGAGTGTGGAGTCATGGAAACACACACATATATACAGGCGTGTGCCTGGCCACGGGATGTTAGACTGGAGGCCAAGTTCACTGAGGCCTCAAGGCTGTAGCAAGATGTGCTGTTTTAGATTTCAAGGATCATTTTAGCTCAGGGGCCACATGGAGGAAAATCTATTCCCAAGTGGGCCGGACCGGAAAAATCATGGTATATATAACTTAAAAACAACAACTTCAGATTGTTTTCTTTGTTTTAATACGATCAACATACAACATAAAGCTGGAGCCTGAGGACAGTGTGTCCAAAATAGTACAAGCACAACATCACTATTAATCATAAAACACGTCAAGTTTATTTGAAAATTCTAAAGAAAAAGAACACACAAACACACAATGCCTCAGTGATTAACAGAACTGTTTCACAGATCACAGAACTATATCAGGGTGTCATTTCTCAGGCAGAAATGTAGATAAAAATAATGAAATCCTGTTCCCCAAACAAGTGCAAGAACCACAGAGTCAATAATAGGTTAAATATACAAATAAAAGAAAATCAATTAAAAACAATAGCACATCAACATAAAAACATATAAACATAAATCTGAAAGCGTTGCTCAAACTCCCGTAACAGTCCCGTTATTTTATCTTTGAACGGCTTCATGTCTGCCACATGTTGGGTCGCGCACACATTTTTCAGACAGGGGAAGTGAGCTGCAAGTTGCGTCTCCCACAATGACAGCTTCAACTTGAAAGAACGTATGCTGTCATAATACTGCGTGACAACTTTGTTGCGCCCTTGCAGCTGTTTGTTCAAGTTATTCAGGTGCTCTGTAACATCCACCATAAATGCAAGGTCCGGCATCCATTCTGCGGAATGAAATTCTAACACTGGTTTGCCCTTTTCTTCCATGAACTGTTCAAGGCCATAGATGTGGTCTTTCTCTCTGAGAAGGCTGTCAAACTGACGGTGATTCAGGCTTCTGGATCGGATGAAATTAACAGTTTGGATGACCACCTTCATGACGTTATCCATCTTTAATGACTTGCAACACAAAGCCTCCTGGTGCAAAATACAGTGAAAAGTCAAAAAATCACGTCCTCCATTTGCAGATTGCACTTTCTCTCTGAACTTTGTCACAACGCCTACTTTTTTCCCGATCATTGAGGGCGCACCATCTGTAGCCAGGCTGACAGCGCGGGACCAGTCCACTCCGACCCTGTCCAGCGCGCCGACGAGTGCGGTAAAAATATCAGCTGCTGTCGTTGTATCTGTCATCGGCACCAACTCCACGAACTCCTCGGTGACGGTCAATGTGTCATCAACTCCGCGGATGAAAAAATGGCCAGTTGTGCAACATCTGTAATGTCCGTGCTTTCATCAATTGCAACCGAAAACGCAATAAATGACTTTACTTTTTGCTTCAACTGTCTGTCCAAATCCACTGAAAGATCGGAAAATCCTGTCTGCAACTGTGTTTCTTGTCAGGCTGATATTTGCAAAAGCCTGCCGCTTTTCAGGGCACACAATCTCCGCTGCCTTCATCATGCATGTTTTTACAAATTCACCCTCACTAAATGGTTTTGAAGCCACTGCGATTTCATTAGCAATGAGGTAGCTAGCTTTCACTGCAGCGTCACTGATGTCTCGGCTGTGAGTAAACACAGACTGCTGTTTCTTCAGACCCGCCAACAGTTCATTCACCTTCTCTCATCTCCGCTGTCCTTGAAAGTTGTCATATTTGTCGGCATGAAGACTCACATAGTGGCGACGAAGGTTATATTCTTTCAGCACTGCAACATGCTCTGAACACACCAAACATACAGCTTTCCCATTCAATTCCGTGATTAAATAGGATTACCATTTTTCTTGGAACACTCTGCACTCTGCGTCCACTTTTCTCTTTTTTGACAGAGACATATTGGGGCAATGAGGGTGCCAAAGCATATAATGTTAAAAGTAGAAGCCGTAATAAATATCGCGGGCAAAACAAAGTAGCTCATTGGCTGCACGTGCTTGACCTACTTGCTCTGCCCCGGTATAAACAGTTTGCTTGCTTAACACAATTGCTATTGCGCCATCCAGTGGACGCAATTGGAACAGCAGTTTATTTTATTGAAAAATTGCAGCGCATTTTTATACTTTACAATTTTTTTTATTTTTTTTTAATCATCTCGCGGGCCGGATTAAACCCGTTTGCGGGCCTGATCCGGCCCGCGGGCCGTACGTTTGACACCCCTGATCTAAATGATCCCACCGCACTCTCCTCTCTCACACACACACACACACACACTTTGATAATAAGTATTTAAGATGACTTAGTTGTTTAAGGCACTTGTGTGATATTTATTTATAGACCCAGACAGTGAGCTGATAGGCAGGTTTTTGGTCCAAACAAAATGGGTCTGTTTGCCAAACAGCTAATGGCCTTTTATCAGTTGACATGGGGTGTGAATGAGTCATGTGGCATTTCATCTTCATAGTCTCCTTACAGGGAGGACCAAGTCCACATGCTGCAGTTGAGCTTGCAAGTAAGCATTTCACTGTGCTGTTTAACACCTGCTGTATCCTGTGCACGTGACAAATAAACTTTGAAACCTCACATTTAAGGCCACTGCCAATGTGACATTTAAAAAAGTTTCCCTGAGAGAATTGAGTGTCAGAGTGACTGGGCTTAAGTACATTTACATTGTAGTCATTTAGCAGATGCTATTTTCCAGAGCGATTTACAGGAGCAATTATGGTTAAGTGCCTTGCTCAAGGGCACATCAGTAGATTTTTCACCTAGTCGGCTTGGGGATTTCAACCAGCGACCTTTCAGTTACTGGCCTGCCGCTCTTAACCGTTAGGCTACCTGTTTCGGGTGTTGAAATGTGTGGGATTAGACAAACTATTGTAATGTAGGATTATGTTCACCCCTCCCTAGTCTTTCTTTCAAATATTTCCATGGGTAGGTGTGTCTTCACCTCACCTCTCCCAGGTTGCCTCATGGTCTTCTTTATATTGAGTCAGAGATATCTACCGCTTGGCTGGTTACCTCATCCATAACAGAGAGGCGAGGCATCTGACGGACTACTTGGATAATTGCCCATATATTCCACAACGAAGATGGATTATTTTGTTTCAGCACGGTAGTAATACTGACACTGGCCTTCATACCGTTTCTGACTATTGTATTCTATGTTCTGTTTACAGAAGATTCTTCAACTCCTACCAGAGCGAATACAGGGTCGATGGCAGTTCCACAGCATAGGTACATTTATACTAGGCCCTTGTGCATGTTGTGCCATTGTGAGTGTGGACGTCTTTATCAGCTAACGGTAAGTGTGTGGGAGTGCGTGTGTTTTTTTTCTCTAGGTTCTACCTCAGGATCAGACATTTGGTCCCATCATGTGTTTGAAATCAGGTTAAGCCAGTTAAGTGTGTATCGGGCCCACACACTCCTCCCTTGCCAATGTATGTCTTAGTTCTGACTGTAGCTACATGATCTCCTACATGATTTGTAACATGCATTTGGAGTGAGAAAGGAAGGAGAATAGTGCCCTGCGCTGCCCTCTCCTCACCCCTCCACTAGGTGGTCTCTCCTTTTCCACTGCACTGAGGCCGCTGTGCAGTTGGATACAAAGGCCACCCAGAGAAAGCCAGAGAATGCCAAGGACCTGGGGATGAGGGTCTCCCAGGTCTGACCGAGTACTCTGACATGTGCTGTAGTACTGGGGGCGGGGCGGGGCTGGTCTGGGGCTGGGTGGGTGGGTGTGGTTAGGGCTGGGTGGCTGGCTGGTTGTTGATATTCAGGGTGATGTGAATTGTTGTCTCCGCACAGGCCTCATCCTGAAGAAGCTGTTGCACACTGGGAACTCTTTAAAGGTACATCAGATTTGTCCTTCACTCGTCAGTAGCATCGCCAGTAGCCAACCTGCCTCTGATTGATTCACAAATTTTGTTTTTGTAGTAATCTTCCTGTTTTTCTGTTCTCTTCATATTTTGCAATGGTGTTGACTGCTATGGGTATTTGGTAATGGTATGCTCATAGAAATAGACTCACTAGAGTCGATTTCTATGAGTATGTTCCTGACGGTGTCTCTCTCTCTCTCCCCTGTAGATTCGAAGGGAGGGTGTGCGTCTGTTCTTGCTATGGATGCAGGCCCTGCAGGGTAACGCACTGAGAGAGCAGCTATGGATCTTTGCCTGTCTGATCCCTGGCTTCCCATCCCCTCAGTCAGAGCTGGGCCCCCGAACCCTGGACAACCTGGTCAACCCCCCTCTCAGCCTCCAGGAGAGTCAGTATTAATGCTTTGTCTCTACACCTTAATGCTTTGTCTCTACACCGATCACCTTGCTAGTGACTAGTTAATAGGAAGAAGCTTGAGGTTGACTGTTCTGCAACCCAACAAATATTTCAGATTCAAACTCGTATGGGCAATTTCAAACTTAATGATCATTCAGGCACCCAATTATTGAACACACAACTGTGGGTGTACCTCTCAAGGTGTTGATTCTGCTGCTTTCATTCCTCTCTCCTCCTTTCTCTTCCCTCCTTCTTCCATTCCTTCAGCTCAAGTGACTCCAGAAGAGATCAGTCCCCTGGTTCCTCCACAGTCAGGGGATAAGGGCCAGGAAGACCTCACAGGATACTTTCTAGAGGCTCTTCTGAAATACATGGTAAACCAGGTACTCTTCCCTTCATTACTAACACTGCTAACATGCTTGGCGTGGATGCAGCATTACCTACTACCTACCAGCAAGCCTTTTGACATGGCCTTCTGTGTGTTTGCAAGTGCAAACGACCATAACCCCATGAAAAGTGGCTTACATCATTTTAAGTCAAGCAGTACATTTCAGCAGTACTCAAGACTGAAACAGGATTAACAACATAGCTCATATGTATAGCTTTTTTCCACATTATTAACGCGAGCTTGTGGAACGGAGTTAAGAACGTGCCGTAAACTCACTTCACAGCTAGCTTGAAATGTCACGGATGGAGCCATCCAGTCAGTACCTTTTTGGGTGGCTCAACCCATTGCAACGTTGTCAGGGGGATGGTCCTGTGTGTTGCGAAGCAGAGGATCACTGGTTTGAGCTCAGTTTGGGGAGGTTGGACAGTAGAATAAGCTAAGCTGTTAGAAACACACTGACCCCCATTACATGTTGCATCTGCATGCTTTCACTGCAGTGCACTGTATGCTGACACACTCACTGAGCTAACGGCTGAGCTGCTTTCTCTCTCCCTGGCTTTCCCAGACAAAGCCTCCTCTCACTGCCTGTCTCTGTTATTCTCTTTGTTAACAGTAGTCTCTTGTTGTGTTGAAGGTGATTCTCATGAAACCAGTTTTAACCATGGCAGTAGCAAATTGAGTTAGAAAACCATGAAGCATCTGCAACAATCAACTATCATTCTGAAGACTAGGATGCTTAGTTTATGGCACAGTGTCTTATTTTTAAAATTTTTTTACATTTTCACCCCAAAATCTCATTACCGAAATGCGTCCGGATTAAATTCTAAAGTTATTTTATACAATTATACTTCAGAAAAAAACTAAGTTATTTGAATAAAACACCAAATATGTTGCTGTAGTTTGTCCATAAATCATACAAATTGTATAGTAGTTGAAGTTTACATTAAACTATAATATTTAAGTAAAGTCAGTTTCTCATTACGTAACACTTTTTCAAGTTGCTTTATTTTTTTGATAAAGTTTTATTCACCTGATGCATCATCTAGAGAAGTAGTCATTTTCTAGAGAAGAAGTTCATTTAATTTCTTCACTTATATGCCTCCAGAATGAGGATCTTATTCTCAAACACCCCCTTTACGACACTTGACCTTCTCATTATCGAATTGACTAAAAAGATCAGATTGGGAAAAACTTAGAGAACCATTACCTTACCAACATGGAGGCATGATTGGGCTTTAGTAATGTGGTCAACTGTTTGCTGACTGATAATGGCTGTCTCCTATTACTTTCAGATTGAGCGAAGGGCCTCTCATTACCGAAACACAACTTTCTCATTACTGCATAATCTTAAGGTTCGTTTCGCTAATAAGAACCTTAATTTCGTTAATGATAATAAGCTAATTCTAATAATGTATAGTTAGTGGGTGTGCTGTGCTGGTAACTTCAATTATTTACTAGGACAACTGCTTACACCTATTGTATAGATTTGTTTGTACAAAATCGTGATTTGATTAAGTAAGTGTTGTCAATAAATATAGGTGTATAAACCTCATTTAATTGACTTAAAGCCACAATCTAGAGTTTGTGTTTTCAGCAAAGAGCAACCCCACCACTAAAAGGAGGATATCCCCCATTTTGACCTGTACCCACTTACCTATACTGTTTATTGATATCCCAAGACAGTTTTTGGTCCATATCCCATATATTTAGATACTTTATAGGCATATAATGTTATGTCATTTGCCCGTAGGATCCCATTAAATTTAGAAATACATCTAAAATATCTTAGGACCACACATATCTACGTCCTAATAGACCAATATTACCTGTAAAGACCTTGGAGAAATTACTTTTTTGAAGAAAGTCACTTTTTCATACTTAATTCCACTTTTTACTTTTGAAAATACATGCACATACTTATGCTAAAATAACAAATGCTACAGTTTGATGATGTATTGGGTTACTGAAAAATGTAACATATGCTTTATTTTGGCTTAATCTGAAAGTGTCTTTTGTTCTTTATCCAAAATGTGTAGATAAAAAGATCATGTCTACACAGGTTATTATGACAAACAAGACTCAGAAAAGGTTATGTGTTGCGGTAATGAGAGAAATTACAAAATACATTTTAATAATTCGATTTTAAATCTACACTGAACAAAAATATAAACGCAGCATGCAACAATTTCAATGATTTTCCTGAGTTACAGTTCATATAAGGAAATCAGTAAATTCATTAGGCCTTAATCTATGGAATTCACATGACTGGGCAGGGGCGCAGCCATGGGTGGGCCTGGGAGGGTGGAGGCCAACCCACTTGGGAGCCAGGCCCACCCACTGCAGAGCCAGGCCCAGCCAATCAGAATACGTCTTTTCCCCAAAAATGACTTTATATTACAGACAGAAATACTCCTCAGCACCCCCTCCCCCAACTCCGATGATCCCGTAGGTGAAGAAACCGGATGTGGAGGTCCTGGGGTGGCGTGGTTACACATGGTCTGCGGTTGTGAGGCCGTTTAGACGTAGTGCCAAATTCTCTCAAATGACTTTTGAGGCGACTTATGGTAGAGAAATTAACATTCAAGAGTGTGCAAAGCTGTCATCAAGGCAAAGGGTGGCTATTTGTAGAATCTCAAATATAAAATATATTTTGAATTGTTAACACCTTTTTGGTTACTACATGATTCCATATGTGTTATTTCATAGTTTTGATGTCTTCACTATTATTCTACAATGTAAAAATTAAGAAAAACCCTTGAATGAATGGTAGTGTGTGTGTGTGTGTGTGTGTGTGTGTGTGTGTGTATATATATATATATATATATACACACACACACAGTTGAAGTCGAAAGTTTACATACACTTAGGTTGAAGTCATTAAAACTCGTTTTTCAACCACTCCAAAAATATATTGTTAACAAACTATAGTTTTGGCAAGTCGGGTAGGACATCTACTTTGAGCATGACACAAGCAATTTTTCCAACAATTGTTTACAGACAGATTATTTCACTTATAATTCACTGTATCACAATTCCAGTGGGTCAGAAGTTTACATACACTAAGTTGAATGTGCCTTTAAACAGCTGGGAAATTGGCTTTAGAAGCTTCTGATAGGCTAATTGACATAATTTGAGTCAATTGGAGGTGTACCTGTGGATGTATTTCAAGGCCTACCTTCAAACTCAGTGCCTCTTTGCTTGACATCATGGGAAAATCAAAAGAATCAGCCATGACCTCAGAAAAAAATTTGTAGACCTCCACAAGTCTGGTTCATCCTTGGGAGCAATTAACAAACGCCTGAAGGTACCGCGTTCATCTGTACAAACAATAGTACGCAAGTATAAACACCATGGGACCACGCAGCCGTCATACTGCTCAGGAAGGAGAAGCGTCTCCTAGAGATGAATCTACTTTGGTGCGAAAAGTGCAAATCAATCCCAGAACAACAGCAAAGGACCTTGTGAAGATGCTGGAGGAAACGGGTACAAAAGTATCTATATCCACAGTCAAACGAGTCCTATATTGACATAACCTGAAAGGCCGCTCAACAAGGAAGAAAAGCCATCAAAAAGCCAGACTACGGTTTGCAACTGCACATGGGGACAAAGATCGTACTATTTGGAGAAATGTCCTCTGGTCTGATTAAACAAAAATAGAACTGTTTGGCCATAATGACCATCATTTATGTTTGGAGGAAAAAGGGGGTCGCTTGCAAGCCGAAGAACACCATCCCAACCGTGAAACACGGGGGTGGCAGCATCGTGCTTTGCTGCAGGAGGGACTGATGCACTTCACAAAATAGATGGCATCTTGAGGAAGGAACATTTTGTGGATATATTGATGCAACATCTCAAGACATCAGTCAGGAAGTTAAAGCTTGGTCGCAAATGGGTCTTCCAAATGGACAATTACCCCAAGCATACTTCCAAAGATGTGGCAAAATGGCTTAAGGACAACAAAGTCAAGGTATTGGAGTGGCCATCACAAAGCCCTGACCTCAATCCTATAGAAAATGTGTGGGCAGAACTGAAAAAGCGTGTGCGAGCAAGGAGGCCTACAAACCTGACTCAGTTACACCAGCTCTGTCAGGAGGAATTGGTCAAAATTCATCCAATTTATTGTGGGAAGCTTGTGGAAGGCTATCCGAAACGTTTGACCCAAGTAAAAACATTTAAAGGCAATGCTACCAAATACTAATTGAGTGTATGTAAACTTCTGACCCACTGGGAATGTGATGAAATAAATAAAAGCTGAAATAAATAATTCTCTCTACTATTATTCTGACATTTCTCATTCTTAAAATAAAGTGGTGATCCTAACTGACCTAAGACAGGGAATTTGTACTAGGATTAAATGTCAGGAATTGTGAAAAACAGAGTTTAAATGTATTTGGCTAAGGTGCATGTAAACTTCCGACTTAAACTGTGTGTGTGTGTGTGTGTGTGTATATATATATTTTTTTTTAAGTCAAGTGCCAGTTTCATGAGAATCACCCTGTTGTTGTCTTCCCACCTGTAGGCCAAAAGTCTGGAGTGGAAGTGCAAAGACAACCACGAGAAGGGCTTCGCATTCCTGTTTGGAAACTTCAGGAAATATTACCTGCCGCACATATTCCCAACCTTTTCCAAGGAAACCAGTTTGTACAATCCCATACTGGGTGAGGAGACCATTTGAATTAGTATGAGCTAAAGAAACAGAATTACTTATTTTTTTAGACATTCAGTGGCTTGCGAAAGTATTCACCCCATTTTTCCTATTTTGTTGCCTTACAACCTAGAATGAAAATTGATTTTTTGGGGGTTTGTATCATTTGATTTACACAACATGCCTACCACTTTGAAGATGCAAAATATTTTTTATTGTGAAACAAACAAGAAATAAGACCAAAAAACTGAGAACTTGAGCGTGCATAACTATTCACCCGCCCAAAGTCAATACTTTGTAGAGCCACCTTTTGCAGCAATTACAGCTACAAGTATTTTGGGGTGTCTCTATAAGCTTGGCACATCTAGCCACTGGGATTTTTGCCCATTCTTCAAGGCAAAACTGCTCCAGCTCCTTCAAGTTGGATGGGTTCCGCTGGTGTACAGCAATCTTTAAGTCATACCACTGATTCTCAATTGGATTGAGGGGTGGGCTTTGACAAGGCCATTCCAAGACATTTAAATGTTTCCCCTTAAACCACTCAAGTGTTGCTTTAGCAGTATACTTAGGGTCATTGCCCTGCTGGAAGGTGAACCTCCATCCCAGTCTCAAATCTCTGGAAGACTGAAACAGGTTTCCCTCAAGAATTTCCCTGTATTTAGAGGCATCCATCATTCCTTCAATTCTGACCCTTTTCCCAGTCCCTGCCGATAAAAAAACATCCCACAGTATGATGCTGCCATCACCATGCTTCACTGTGGGAATGGTGTTCTCGGGGTGATGAGAGGTGTTGGGTTTGCGCAAGACATAGCGTTTTCCTTGATGGCCAAAAAGCTCAATCTTAGTCTCATCTCCTCATCTGCTTATTTTTTTCTTTAAGCAATGGCTTTTTTCTGGCCACTCTTCCGTAAAGCCCAGCTCTGTGGCGTGTGCGGCTTAAAGTGGTCCTATGAACAGATACTCCAATCTCCGCTGTGGAGTTTTGCAGCTCCTTCAGGGTTATCTTTGGTCTCTTTTGTTGTCTCTCTGATTAATGCCCTCCTTGCCTGGTCCGTGAGTTTTGGTGGGCGGCCCTCTCTTGGCAGGTTTGTTGTGGTGCCATATTCTTTCAATTTTTTAATAATGTTCAAAGTTTCAGATATTTTTTTATAACCCAACCCTGATCTGTAATTCTCCACAACTTTGTCCCTGACCTGTTTGGAGAGCTCCTTGGTCTTCATGGTGCCGCTTGCTTGGTGGTACTCTTTGCTTAGTGGTGTTGCAGACTCTGGGGCCTTTCAGAGCAGGTGTGTATGTATACTGAGATCATGTGACAGATCATATGACACTTAGATTGCACACAGGTGGACTTTATTTAACTAATTATTTGACTTCTGAAGGTAAGGTCTTATTTAGGGGCTTCATAGCAAAGGGGGTGAATACATATGCACACACCACTTTTCCATTATTTATTTTTTAGAATTTTTTGAAACAAGTAATTTTTTTCATTTCACTTCACCAATTTTGACTATTTTGTGTATGTTCATTACATGAAATCCAAATTAAAAATCAATTTAAATTACAGGTTGTAACGCAACAAAATAGTAAAAACGCCAAGGGGGATGAATACTTTTGCAAGGCAATGTACTAAAGTAGATTTTAGTTTTGCATTATACTATAGCGGTGCAGTGTGCATAAAGTCCATTGATACCCTTTTGACTCTACTGAGCCGAGCTGAACTAGCCTTGATATACATCAATGTACATGCATACAGTGGGGAAAAAAGTATTTAGTCAGCCACCAATTGTGCAAGTTCTCCCACTTAAAAAGATGAGAGAGGCCTGTAATTTTCATCATAGGTACACGGCAACTATGACAGACAAAATGAGAAAAATAAATCCAGAAAATCACATTGTAGGATTTTTTAATGAATTTATTTGCAAATTATGGTGGAAAATAAGTATTTGGTCAATAACAAAAGTTTGTCAATACTTTGTTATATACCCTTTGTTGGCAATGACACAGGTCAAACGTTTTCTGTAAGTCTTCACAAGGTTTTCACACACTGTTGCTGGTATTTTGGCCCATTCCTCCATGCAGATCTCCTCTAGAGCAGTGATGTTTTGGGGCTGTCGCTGGGCAACACGGACTTTCAACTCCCTCCAAAGATTTTCTATGGGGTTGAGATCTGGAGACTGGCTAGGTCACTCCAGGACCTTGAAATGCTTCTTACGAAGCCACTCCTTCGTTGCCCGGGCGATGTGTTTGGGATCATTGTCATGCTGAAAGACCCAGCCACGTTTCATCTTCAATGCCCTTGCTGATGGAAGGAGGTTTTCACTCAAAATCTCACAATACATGGCCCCATTCATTCTTTCCTTTACACGGATCAGTCGTCCTGGTCCCTTTGCAGAAAAACAGCCCCAAAGCATGATGTTTCCACCCTCATGCTTCACAGTAGGTATGGTGTTCTTTGGATGCAACTCAGCATTCTTTGTCCTCCAAACACGACGAGTTGAGTTTTTACCAAAAAGTTATATTTTGGTTTCATCTGACCATATGACATTCTCCCAATCCTCTTCTGGATCATCCAAATGCACTCTAGCAAACTTCAGACGGGCCTGGACATGTACTGGCTTAAGCAGGGGGACACGTCTGGCACTGCAGGATTTGAGTCCCTGGCGGCGTAGTGTGTTACTGATGGTAGGCTTTGTTACTTTGGTCCCAGCTCTCTGCAGGTCATTAACTAGGTCCCCCCGTGTGGTTCTGGCATTTTTGCTCACCGTTCTTGTGATCATTTTGACCCCACGGGGTGAGATCTTGCGTGGAGCCCCAGATCGAGGGAGATTATCAGTGGTCTTGTATGTCTTCCATTTCCTAATAATTGCTCCCACAGTTGATTCCTTCAAACCAAGCTGCTTACCTATTGCAGATTCAGTCTTCCCAGCCTGGTGCAGGTCTACAATTTTGTTTCTGGTGTCCTTTGACAGCTCTTTGGTCTTGGCCATAGTGGAGTTTGGAGTGTGACTGTTTGAGGTTGTGGACAGGTGTCTTTTATACTGATAACAAGTTCAAACAGGTGCCATTAATACAGGTAACGAGTGGAGGACAGAGGAGCCTATTAAAGAAGAAGTTACAGGTCTGTGAGAGCCAGAAATCTTGCTTGTTTGTAGGTGACCAAATACTTATTTTCCACCATAATTTGCAAATAAATTCATTAAAAATCCTACAATGTGATTTTCTGGAAAAAAAATTCTCATTTTGTCTGTCATAGTTGCCGTGTACCTATGATGAAAATTACAGGCCTCTCTCATCTTTTTAAGTGGGAGAACTTGCACAATTGGTGGCTGACTAAATACTTTTTTCCCCACTGTACATATGTACATACATACATGCATACATACAGTGCATTCGGAAAGTATTCAGACCCCTTCCTTTTTTCCACATTTTGTTACATTACAGCCTTATTCTAAAATGGATTAATCGTTTTTTTCCATCATCAATCTACAGACAATACCCCATAATGACAAAGCAATAACAGTTTTTTAGAAATGTCTGCTATTTGTTTTTTTTATATATATAAATAAAATATCACATTTACATAAGTTTTCAGACCCTTTACTCAGTACTTTGTTGAAGCACCTTTGGGGTCAAGGGGTCTGAATACTTTCTGAATGCACTGTACATACTCCGACATTGCTCGTCTTAATATTTCTATATTTCTTAAGTCCGTTCTTTTCATTTTAGCTTTGTGTTCGTTGTTGTGTATTGCTAGATATTAAAGCACCATTGGAGCTAGGAACACAAGTATTTCGCTACACCTGCAATAAAATCTGCTAAATATATGTATGCGATCAATACAATTTGATTTGATTTGACCATATGCTTGAACCATGTTGGAAAGAAAATATCAGAGCCAGCACAGTACGGGTAGCACAATGATGTGAAAAGGGTAATAGCGAAACATCTGCATTCTCTATTCAATCTCTCTGTCTGTCCCCCCTCCAGAGGTTCCATCAATGAGACCAAAGCCTTACTACAGTGTAGTGAAGAGAGACCCAGAGACCAACGAGGCAGTGTACTGTACCAAGGAGAGCCTCCTCAACGCCCGGGTCATCTTCATCCGCTGGCTGGTGTCCTTCTGGCTGGAGCCACGCTCCAACACTGGAACACACATCCCTGGGGTGGATGGAGAGAGGGAGAGCGTGCCAAAAAACATCCAGGTAATCATTGTACTACACCCACCTGAGGGGAGAGTTTGCCAGTGTTAGCACAACGTATATATTATATCTAGGTACATGGATGGAACTTTTGGGCACTGGCCAGCCGGGCTACTGGACAACAATCTTTACTAGCCCTTGTCCAAATGTTGTGCCATGCAATATTTTCCATCCCTGTCTAGGTATCATAGAGAGAGTGTGCCAAAAAACATATAGGTAGGTCATGCAGGCAGCAGCACACCTGAGGGAAGGTAAGAGGTATGAAGGGTTAGCATAATTATATCTTCACATTAAACACAGCCTCTGGGACAGCTTTTGAGTTGTGGTATTGCTCGGTCTGTGGGTTTTACTAGTGAACCTCCAACACATGCATTGTGTTACATATATTTACCAGGCCTTATCGAAGCTGTAACGGTGGTCACTGATGATTGTGTTTCTCTGGATGTCTTCCAGAGGGCAGCAGCTGGGCTGGCAGCGCGGGGACATGGGCTGGGGGAGGACTTAGGCCCCAGGGCAGACAGCCTGGATGGAGGGATGGGTTGTGAGCAGGAGCAGTCCCACTCTAACACCTCCACCTTGACCGAGAGGGAGCCCAGCTCCTCCAGCCTGTGTAGTATGGACGAGGAGCACCTCACTGACATGGAGGTTGTGAGAAGAGTCCTCTGTTCCTCCAGGACCAACGTCAACTTCATCACTGAGATTTTCCGACAGGTACAGCACACTTACTCACACAGTACATTGTGTTTTGCTCATTGTAATAAATACATTTCACACCTTGGGATCAATACATTTCTACTACTACTACTGGGTCGTTACACAAAATCCCCTTTTGGTCCTTTAAAAAATATTTTAAGTAGAAATTGGGCACCAATATTGAATTGTAAAGGCCTGTTATATTAAAGCTGCACTATGCCGATATTGCTCCGCCATTTCCTAGTTGCTAAAATTATAATAGCCTAATTTTCAGTTTATGTATTTGGTATTTTGTGGTATTTTATTAGGATCCCCATTTAGCTGTTGCAAATGCAGCGGCTACTCTTCCTGGGGTCCACACAAAACATGAAACATGACATAATACAGAACATTAATAGACAAGAACAGCTCAAGGACAGAACTACATAATATATATTTTTTAAAAGGCACATGTAGACTACATACACACAAACTATCTAGGTCAAATAGGGGAGAGGCATTGTGCCGTGAGGTGTTGCTTTATCTGTTTTTGAAACCAGGTTTGCTGTTTATTTGAGCAATATGAGATGGAACGATGTGACAGTGTAGAGAATCATTGTACCATCTAAACCACTGTGAAATATATTTTCCATAACCCAAAATATTGTATTTTCAGCTGTTTGAAGCTGGTGTACAAACCGAAAGTAAAAGACGCAAAAAAGAAATGTAAGAACGGGAAGCATAGATATAGCGCGCATAGAATCTATTTACAGCTTCTTAGACTTGCTTTTAATGAGAAAGACAGATCTATCTCACATTTCTATGTGAATTTGGTTGGGTCGCCCAATAAGTTACATATTGCAGCTTTAAATGAAGTGCCCTTTAATATAGACCACATGGAAAATTCATTAAATCCGATTTTTTTAATATGAATAAAGACTTGCTAAAGTGCCAATATTCAGCAGTTTGACATGTACCTCTGTGCCCTTTGTGACTTCTAGAAATATTTTAACGCACTTAACCCCCAATTTTCTCCACTAGTTTTCCATCCAATTTGCGAGAGTTTTTCATGCGACTATTCTAAAATCCGAATAAAGAAAATATGCGCATTTTCCCACCAGTGGATTGTTTCCACCAAACGGACTTGTTGCAGATAAAAATCAGTGTGTGATTACGTATTGCACACAATGTACTTTTTTCACTTAAGTTTTCATAAACCTAATAAATATCTAACGTTCAGTGTGTTCCCATCTCATTTTCAACTCTACCGATAGTTTTGTCACACTGCGTTAAATAGCAAATGTGCCTACTCTGGTCTTGGCATGTCACCACCCTGTGAAGTTCATCATAAGTTATTTCATCTGTAACCTAATAAACTGCATGGTTTCCCAAGTCGTAGTGGGAGGACCACACACCATATCATCGCGTGACTCCAAGTTTACTTCGATATGATGGTTCAATATTTGCGCATAAAGGTGTTTCCACTGCCATTTCTCACTTAATAATTTTACCGATACAAAAAGATCCCACCATGTCGAACGAACAAATTATCTGTCGGCATTTATACAATTGTACTGAAAATTCCTGTTTCCATCACAGATGTCGTGATTTTCTTTTCTTCTTTTCGGTATGACTTTATTCGCATAACAACTGTGGATGGAAACGTGATTAGTGTATAGCCTTAGTTATTTCGTTGTTTTGACAAAGTCATTTCTAAAGATGATTTATTTCATGTGATTAGTGCTTCATTGTAAGGTCAAAAAAACCTGTCCCTCATTTTAAGGTCACTTGAACTGAACTCTTGTTTTAATATGGTAAAACGTCCTTTTTAAATAATGTTTTCAAAAGAAACATTGAACATCTAATAGTCAAATCATAGTGTAAAAGCAGGTGAGCTGGTTCTACTCTTTTTGGCAGTTTCTGGTGTTTTGTGGTGGAAAACTGAGTGGGTCGAGCATAACACATCAACTATTACTCATAGATAGACAGGCTAGACATTTCTTAAACATTTTTGTGAAGCTTGCATTCAATTGCCCCTTCCTGTTGCACACAACCTTCCATTCTCCAAGGGGATTTATGGCTGATTTTAAGATGAAATCGCCAACCCTTTAACTTTATTTGGCACTTACTATATATTTTCTTTTTTATTTAACCTCTTGAGATGGGAAAACATGTTTTTTAATAAGTTGAACGTGATGTTCATGACAGAATGTTAAAATGAGGTGAAATCAAACGTTTTCTCAAAGTTACACTACCCAAAAGGGACTACTGCAGGAGCTACTGCTACTGCTACTACTGCTACTACTGCTACTGCTACTGCTACTGCTACTGCTACTGCTACTGCTACTGCTACTGCTACTACTACTACTACTACTACTACTACTACTACTGCTCCATTTTAATCCAGCACAGTGACATTGTTGTGTTGTCCTCTCTCCTCAGGCCTTCCTGTTGCCGATGTGTGAGGCTGCAGCCATGAGGAAGGTCGTGCGGGTGTACCAGGAGTGGTTTGCCCAGGAGGACAAGCCTGTGTTTATGAGGGAGCTGGAGGAGGAGAGGATATTTTCTACTGCTGGAGAGGTTAACCTGGAGCCTGTACCCCTGCAAGGCCAAGAGGAGGTGAGGGCTGGAGCTAGGGCTCTGGGTGGGTGAGGATGGAACCACAAGGGTCCTATTCATTAGGGCACACTAAGGAAAACCATTTGCAATGGGAAACAAAAATGAGTCCAGGTAGTCACTCATGTTTCAGTCTGTTTTCTTACGTTTGGTAATGAACACGACCCTCAAGACCAAGAAGTAGACATGATGGAGCCTATCTTCATGGTCTCTCAGTCTAACACATGTTGTGTATTTGCTCTTCTTTCTGTGTCCTCTCAGAGGGTGAATAAAGTGTCTGAGAAAGAGCTGCTTGAGTACAGTGTGCATGCAGGTGTTCAGACAACTCTACAGGTATGTTCTATTGGCCAACACACACACACTATGCAGAATAGGCAACCATATAAAGTAGTTCTGTAATGATCACTAACTTCCATCCAATACTGTCCAGTTCAATGCCTTTGTTCACCACCGTCATCTCCCTCTTTCTTCCACCCCAGGTGTTTGTCACCAACTCGGCCAATGTGTTTCTGCTGGAACCGGCCAACGAGCTGAAGATGCTGCTGGAGGAACATGTTGACATGTGCAAGAGAGTCCTTAACATCTATCGCAGCCTGGTCATGCATGAAACCATGGACCAGAAGACATGGTACAGCACAACACTAACTGAGCAGCCCATGGGTTTTAATGAGGAAGTGTAGCATACATTTACGGCCAGACCCAATTTGTTCCCTACAACTCCCATTAGCCCTAACCCTTCAACGTTTGCAGATCTGAAGGGTATGGATAGGTATAAGCAGTGTAGTGGGGGAGCTTACATATGATTTCTTATACCTATAGAAGAGTTAGGGCCAAGGTGGAGTGGTAGGGCCTTTCCACTTTTTGTGCAACATATCCCTATTTGACCACTTCTCACTTGTGATGTGTCTGTCTGTCTGCAGGGAGCAGATCCTGCTGGTGCTGCTGAGGGTGACCGAGTGTGTGATGAAGAGACCTCCCTCCATCATGCCCCACGGCAAGAAGAACATGACCCTCTCAGGGAGACTGGCCGGGGCAGTCTTTCAGGTACCCAGCGTAGCACTCACAACATACAGTGTGTACGTCCCAAATGGCACCCTATTCCCTATATAGTGCACTACTTTTGACCAGGGGCCCATAGGGCTGTTGTCAAAACTACTGCACTATAGAGGGAAGAGGGTGCCATTTGGGACAGACACTGTGACTAACCACATGAGGGCGCTTTCTCAATGGTCTTATCTTGATTCCTTGAAACATCTCCTCGCTTCCCGCTGACAATTAGAGAATAATTTGGGAAAGGACAGAAGAGGAGGACACAAGGAATCGGGCAAAGACTTTTGAGAAAGCCTCCATAACCTTCCTCCACATGAAACCTAACAAAGGGATGTTTCTACTTTTCATGCTAGTCTTTCTGCCTCTTCCTCTGGTAGACCCTGATAGTGGCGTGGATCAAAGGGAACCTGAACGTGTACATCTCCAGGGAGCTGTGGGACGACCTGCTGGCCGTGCTGTCCTCACTCACCTGCTGGGAGGAGCTGGTCACAGAGTGGTCCCTCACTATGGAGACGCTCACCAAGGTTCTGGCCCGCAACCTGTACAGGTAAAAACAGGAGAGAACGTGCTCAACACACACGCACTGAGGAAGGCGAAAGCCGAAGTGTTTTGTTAAGACATGTTGAAAAGAAAATAATATTAAACAGAGGTTCAAATTGTAACTCAATCTAAGTGAGTGCTGGCCCCTTTTAAACGTTTCAGTCTGGACCTCAACGAGCTGCCCCTGGACAAGCTGAGCGAACAGAAACAGAAGAAACACAAGGGAAAAGGTACAACTCTGTCACTGCTTTACTCACTCTGATGGACACACTGCTTCCTCTCTCCATCACTCTATCTCTTTCCCTCCCTCTCCCTTCCTCCCTCCCTTTCTATTGAACACTACAGCGACGTACCAACCTGTACCCGATCTTTCCCTCTCTGTGTTGGTCACTAGGGGGAGCTCACGAGGGCCAGAAGATGGCTGTGGACCGTTCGTTCTCTAAGGGCTGGAGCAGGGACCAGCCTGGGAGTGGGAGCGGCCAGGCAGCAGCCATGAGGCAGCGCAGTGCCACCACCGCTGGCTCCCCGGGCATGGAGAAGGCCAGGAACACCATACGCCAGAAGACTGTGGGTTAGTGTCAAGCCATCATATTTATCAGGGGAAACTATGTCTACATATTGGAGGGTTGGTTGTCTTAACCTCGTGTCAAAGTGTTTATGGTATCTTTTATGGATTGTTTAAATTGCTGAATGTAATGGTTCCAGTAGATCTATACATGGCGCATTTTAAGGTTTTGGTGTGATAGCCAATGCTACTATTAACTGTCGTCAAATTGACCTAGGCAAGTTATTCTTATTTTAGCCATTTAGAAATAATCAATTCAATGGGAAATGGGTGCTGTGTAGGAGTCCTCCAGTGAAGAATCGTTAAACTGAGCAGGAGGGTTGTGTTGGCTCACGGAGGGCTCTGTGACCTGGCTCCTGAGGTACAGACAACCAGACAGACAGCCACCTGCCTCCACACAGCAGCTTGTCACCTTTGCCTTTTCCTTGTCCTCCTCTCTCTGAAGGTCACTGCTCTCTGCCTTGCTGTCACCGTCCTCACTTTTCCCCCTCACTTTCTCACCTTCTCTCCTTCTTCCTCTCTCCCCCTTTTTACCTTCCCCTTGTTTCTAAACACCTTTTCTATCCATTTCCTCTCTGTCCCTCTATTTCATGACCCCCTACCCTTCTCTCTTTTATTATCCTCTCTCCATCCCCCTTACTTCTTTCACCTCCCCTCCCTCCTTTTTCTCCTTCCTCTCCTCCCTTCTCTCTTCTCTCTCTGTGGTGGCCGTCCGTCCCTCAGCCATGCGTAGCTGCTCTACGGGCGACAGCCTCCTGTCCCAAGCCTTTATCCGCAGCGCTAAAAGTGCCCCTGTCCTCATCCATCACCACTACCCTCTCCTGCCTGACTCTGTCCTCACTCCCCTAGCTGACAAGCTGGCAGGTAGAGCCCACTACTCTACGCCTGTACCTGTGTCTCTATCTGTATCTCCACCAACTTCACTTCTTCACTCACTATCTGTGTGTCTTTGCATACACCACCGTTCAAAAGTTTGGGGTCACTTAGAAATGTCCTTGTGTTCGAAAAGAAAAGCAATTTTTTTGGTCCATTAAAATAACATCAAATTGATCAAAAATACAGTGTAGACATTGTTAATGTTGTAAATGGCTATTGTAGCTGGAAACGGCTGATTAAAAAAAAAAATGGAATATCTACAAAGGCGTACAGAGGCCCATTATCAGCAACCATCAGTCCTGTGTTCCAATGGTTGTTGTGTTTGCTAATCCAAGTTTATCATTTTATTTTTATTGGCCAGTCTGATATATTGCTTTTTCTTTGCAACTGCCTAGAACGCCAGCATCCCGGAGTCGCCTCTTCACTGTTGACGTTGAGACTGGTATTTTGCGGGAACTATTTAATGTAGCTGCCAGTTGAGGACCTGTGAGGAGTCTGTTTCTCAATCTAGACACTAATGTATTTGTCCTTTTGCTCGGTTGTGCACCGGGGCCTCCCACTCCTCTTTCTATTCTGGTTAGAGACAGTTTGCGCTGTTCTGTGAAGGAAGTAGTACACAGCGTTGTACGAGATCTTCAGTTTCTTGGCAATTTCTCGCATGGAATAGCCTTCATTTCTCAGAACAAGAATAGACTGACGAGTTTCAGAAGATAGTTATTTGTCTCTGGCCATTTTGATCCTGTAATCAAACCCACAATTGCTGATGCTCCATATACTCAACTAGTCTCAAGAAGGCCAGTTGTATTGCTTTTTTAATCAGCACAACAGTTTTCAGCTGTGCTAACATAATTGCAAAAGGGTTTTCTAATGATCAATTAGCCTTTTAAAATGATAAACTTGGATTAGCAAACACAATGTGACATTGGAACACAGGACTGATGGTTGCTGATAATGGGCCTCTGTACGCCTATGTAGATATTCCATTAAAAATCAGCCGTTTCCAGCTACAATAGCCATTTACAACATGAACAATGTCTACACTGTATTTCTGATCAATTTGATGTTATTTTAATGGACCAAAAAATTGCTTTTCTTTCGAAAACAAGGACATTTCTAAGTGACCCCAAACTTTTGAACGTTTGAGTGTATGTGTGTATGCAATGTTTTATATGCTTGCGACTCCACACAGCCTGCATGTCTTTTGGGGGGGGGGGTGCTCTTGTTTGCTGCCATGCCATTTCATAAACAAAACTGAAAGGATATATCTCTCAGGTCTAGACTCTGGGGGTGTGTTGTTTTTAGTTTGTTGTTATTGTTGGTGTTTTCCCTGCATGTGGTTTGGTGTCTATCCCCATTCCCTATCAATTGATGGTTTTGATGACATCTGCTCAAAATGACAGATATTGTCAACCCAGAGATGATTTTTGGATGAATTCTCATTTGGTGTTATTGATGTATTCTAATTAGTCATTTTCCTCTGCTGCAGTTGTTTTGTCTTTGATGATAAGGATATTATTTGATGCAACTGAAATATTAATTTATTAACCATGAAAAGGAATGCTGTTTTTGTCATGTTTTGTCTACCATTGTTTTTGTATCCGTGAACATGCGTACATAAGATGGTTGGTGCTCCTGGGTCCAGCGATATTTGGTTAGAATAAACCATTGATACAAGCTTGCCTGCCTTCAACCACCTGATCCTCTAATCATTTACACAGATATACAGGTGCAGCTCAATAAATTAGAATATTGAGGAAAGGTTATGTATTTTCAATAATACAATTGACAAAGTGAAACTCATATATATCGTGGATTAATTACACAAAAAGTGAAATAGTTCAAGCCTGTATTTGTTTTAATCTTGATGATTACAGCTCATGAAAACCCCAAATTCAGTATCTCAGAAAATTAGAATATTGTGAAAACTGTAGACTCAAGGTGTCACACTAATCAGCTAACTTACTCAAAACACCTGCAAATGTTTCCTGAGCCTTTAAATGGTCTATCAGTCCAGTTCAGTAGGCTTCACAATCATGGGGAAGACTGCTGACTGGACAGTTGTGCAGAAGACAGTCATCAACACCCTCCACAAGGAGGGAAAACCTCAAAAGATCATTGCTAAAGAAGCTGGCTGTTCAGAGTGCTGTATCCAAGCATATTCATGGAAGGAAGAAGTGTGGTAGGAAAAGGTGCACAAGCAACAGGGATAACTGGAGCCTTGAGAGGATTGTCAAGCAAAGGCCATTCAAAAATGTGGGGGAGCTTCACAAGGAGTGGACTGAGGCAGCAGTCAGTGCATCAAGAGCCACCACGCACAGACGTATCCAGGAAATGGGATACAACTGTCGCATTCCTCGTGTCAAGCCACTCCTGAACCAGAGCCAACGTCAGAAGTGTCTTACCTGGGCTAAGGAGAAAAATAACTGGTCTGTCGCTCAGTGGTCCAAAGTCCTCTTTTCAGATTAAAGTAAATTTTGCATTTAATTTGGCAATCAAGGTCCCAGAGTCTGGAGGAAGAGTGGAGAGGCACAGAATCCAAGTTGCTTGATGTCCAGTGTGAAGTTTCCACAGTCAGTGATGATTTGGGGAGCCATGTCTTCTTCTGGTGTTGGTCCACTGTGTTTCATCAAGTCCAAAGTCAACTCAGCCGTCTACCAGGAAATGTTAGAGCACTTCATGCTTCCTTCTGCTGACAAGCTTTTCTGCTGACAAGCTTTATGGAGATGCTGATTTCATTTTCCGGCAGGACTTGGCACCAGCAAACTCGCCTGATCTGAACCCCATAGATAATTTATGGGGTATTGTCAAGAGGAAGATGAGACACGAGACCCAAGAATGCAGACGAGCTAAAGTCCGCTATCGAAGCAACCTGGGCTTCCATAACACCTCAGCAGTGCCACAGGCTGATCGACTCCATGCCACGCCGCATAGATGCAGCGATTTGATGCAAAAGGAGCCCCAAGCAGGTACTGACTGCATGTACAAGAACATACTTTTCAGAAGGCCAACATGTCTGTATAAAATTCATTTTTTCACTGGTTTTATGTCATATTCTAATTTTATGAGATACTGAATTTGGGGTTTTCATGAGCTGTAAGCCGTAATCATCAAGATTAAAACAAATACAGGCTTGAACTATTTCACTTTTTGTGTAATTAATCCACGATATATATGAGTTTCACTTTGTCAATTGAATTATTGAAATTATTAAACTTTTCCACAATATTCTAATTTATTGAGCTGCACCTGTATATTAGATGTGTAGGCAATTATAGACATGCAATTGATTTGATTTTGCAATGCCCACAGAAGCTGCATATGGACATGTCTGCCAACTATATAAGATCATATCGCTGGACCACAGTGTTGTGTATGTTACTGATCCATTCCCGTCGCTGTGTTTCCTGCATGTAGAGTTGGTAGGACCCATCTCCAGTGAGCTGTGCTCTGTGTCCCCTCTCTGTCCAGATATGGAGGATCCCCCGATGGCCCCTCGGGCCCCCAGGATCCACCACTGCTCCCAGAGCGAGGATACCCCGGCCTCGGAGTTGTTTTCAGGGTCCGGCGACCTGGACCCCCAGGGGTCCCTGCTCCCCCGCAGCAGCAGCGCCTCCGACATCATGGAGCCCTTCATCGCCGAGAGGGTCAAAGGTGCTCTTCCTGTCCCTGACAGTCCCCCCTCTCACCCCACCTCCACCACCGCTGTCTCTGTCCCCCACAACCACGCCCTGCACCCCCCCAACCCCCCCTCTGCCACAGGTAGCAGGGTGGCCTCTCTGGAGGTGGGGGATAGCATCTATGATCACCTGTGGCAGATGATAGGCCCCTGCCCCCCTGACTGGACGTGTGGTGGAACCTCCTTCTCCTCCACCCTCACCCAGTCCTCCGAGAGAGAGGAGGAGGGGGAGACTGAGGGGGAGGAGGACCTGCTTAGCTCTCTCAGGGAGTACCTGATGCAAAGAAGCCTGGAGGAGGGAGGTGGATGGGGGGAGAGGGGTTGCCCTAGTGATGCTTTGGATGGTAGTGCTGTGGCTGTGACGGTACAGTCAGGGTCACAGCGGGTCAGGAGACAGGTCCAGGTAAGGCAGCAGAGCAGCTTGGACTCAGCAGAGGAGGACAGTGCAGAGCAGCAGCCTCCTGAGAGGAGCATTTATGAGTGTCTGGAGCAGAGTGATGACTGGGAGCTGGCCAGCAGGGGGAGCTCTAGTCTAGACCAGCAGGTAACTACTCAGGGCACAGAGAATAGGGAAGAGCCCCACTTGGTCAGGCAGGATGCCACAGAGTGTGAGTATAATAACGAGACAGGAGGTTCAGGCCAACAGGCCCCTCAGCCCCAGCAGCAGTCCCATTCCCTCCACCATGCCCTCAAGCCCAGGCTGGTCCGGGGCAGGCCCAAAAAGCACAACGGGGGAGGGGTGCACGTCAGCTTCCGGCCCTCCACAGAGTCTGTCCAGTTCCACAACCCTCTAGACTACAAGGAGGCCCACTGGAGGACCAGGCTGCGCCGCCTCAGCCACTTCAGCAGCCACTCTGTAGGAGGGGTGGGGTCTGGAGGGGCAGGGGTGGGGGTGGGGGGGTCAAAGGGTAAGGAGAGGTCAGGAGGGGAGGGGGTGAGCGGAAACGGGGAGCAGCCTGATCGGGAGGCCAGTGGAGTGGGGGTTCATGCAACAAGGCAAGGACGTGTCCGTCTGGGGCGCTCTGCCCTTCGGCCCCGTGGGACCCGGTCCAGGTCCCAGGATGCGGAGTCGGGGATCAGTCCCTCTCGGCAGCAGCAGGGGGCTCTGTTGGGCGGTGTGTATAAATCTGTGGTCCATGCTCTCTCCAAGCCCAAGGCCCACACCTCCGGCTCCGCGTCTCCCCAGCGGCACAGCAAAGCCCCCGGCGGGGCCACAGAGGCGCCCCTGAGGGACCTGTACACTCATGTATTGGGCTATTTTGGAAGAAAAGCACCAGGTGAGAGACTTGAGTTGCGTCGCTGTGCTCCAAGGCACTACCACAACATGGAAAACAAAACGACAAAACTAAACAAAAACACAAAGCACCACCGTTCTATCTCCTCCGTCTTTTCCGTTTTTAATTAACTGTTTTTTGCTGAATGTGGATTGAATTGAAGCTTTTTTTTTGTTTCCTGTTTTAAAGTACTGTAGCTGACACAATCCAAAAAAAGAACCAAAGCCCGGCCGAAGGCCCCCCTTCCTCTCCTCCTGGGACGGCTCTCCCCTCCTCCTCCTCCTCCAGCTTTTGGGACTAAATCTCTGCTGCCCCTCCTCTTCCCTCCCTGGATGCTGCATGTGGCCTCACACCTCCCCCTCAGCCTTCTCTCTCAGAGCACACAACACCATACTGTACATCACATTCACTGCACACACTGAGATCAATTCTACAATCACATCAGGCGAAAACAGGCTAACTAACTAATTTACAATAATACATTGACATATAACACACATAGTGTAGTATTATAATGTCCTCTGAAGTCCATTGCTTTCATATATACAGGAACATGAGCCTGGGAAATGTATGCTGATGCTCTGACATGTCAATATACCTTCAACCAGGTGAAGGCAGTATAGCCCATCTGATGGAGAATAGAATTTCAGCACCACCAACTGGCAGGAAAGCATTGAGCTGTGTCCTCTTGAGTCATCTCAATGACACACTACCACAAAGTCCAATGTCTTTTTTCTTTGCCTGGGTTTTACTGTAGTAGCCCGATACTATTTTAACATTGTCAGTTAACGCAAAGATTTTGGCAAGGTGTGTTAACAGAACAGCAATAGTGGCTTCTTAGGGCAGTAGACACACTTTTAATGGCAGGTCACTAGAACTAAAACCTAGTTAGAAGCTCAGACTAACCAGATAAATGTGAAGTCACAGGGCATGATGGGGACAAACAATGCTCTCTGCTTCTCTGACAATCCAGCCCAACGCATATAATAACCACTACCGCTCTGTTTAATAATGTATCATGGCCTTGTGTTTGTATGCTGCCCCATCGTTCAGTTATCCCTTCACTATCCAGTTAACACACTGGCCACTCTCACCTAACCACAGTTCAGTTAACATAGCTTGACTAATCTCTGTTCTGTGGTGTGCTGTACTCATGGCCTGGACAAAGCAAGGTTCTTGCTCTCTCTCCTTTTCTCCTCTCTCTCTGGGAATGCATGTGAGTAACTCCTGCATCGCTTTACTGGTTGTACTCGGTTGTGTTGGTTGGCTTTTCTTTAAGGTTGTTCTGTTGAGCTTTGTGCATCAGTTACCTTAATTATTGTTCTCTATGTAACAGCACATACAACACTACAGTTACCTTACTGTATTGACTGATACTTTTACGCAGGCACACATTTCTTAACTTAACATTCTCCACAACCTATAGGAATGACATGAATTCAAGCTTTTATCCCAATGGTATTGTGTTGAGGAGCTCTGTATGCTAGGGATGTGAAGATGCTTGTAGTTGTAGTGCTGTTTGTGTCAGTATCTAGGACGGTGGGGTGAAGTGTGTCCTCTGCTCCCTGCCTGAACACAGCCAACAAAGAGGACCCTTGTCAGAAGATGCGGCCTGTGTCCAGTGATGCAGGCAACAGCAACCAAAACTTTGGCGACCTGATGGACGAGTTTATCCAAGAGCGTCTGCGAGCGGGAGGCACCTCTGTAAGTCGCCCTTCTATTCTCTTTCTTTTCTCTATTTTTATCCTGCTCTCTCTCTCTCTCTCTCTCTCTCTCTCTCTGTCTGTCTCTCTGTCTCTCTCTGTCTCTGTCTCTCTCGCTCTCACGCTCTCTCTCGCGCGCTCTCTCTCTCTCGCGCGCTTTCTCTCTCTCTTTCTCTCTCTTTCTTTCTCTCTCTCACGCTCTCTCTCACGCTCTCTCTCACTCTCTCTCTCACGCTCTCTCGCGCGCGCGCTCTCTCTCTCTTTCTCTCTCTCTTTCTTGCTCTCTCTCTCTCTTTCTCTCTTACGCTCGCTCTCTCTCTCTCTCTCTCACACTCACACTCACTCACACACATATATATATACAGTGGGGAAAAAAAGTATTTAGTCAGCCACCAATTGTGCAAGTTCTCCCACTTAAAAAGATGAGAGAGGCCTGTAATTTTCATCATAGGTACACGTCAACTATGACAGACAAAATGAGAAAAATAAATCCAGAAAATCACATTGTATGATTTTTAATGAATTTATTTGCAAATTATGGTGGAAAATAAGTATTTGGTCAATAACAAAAGTTTCTCAATAGTTTGTTATATACCCTTTGTTGGCAATGACACAGGTCAAACGTTTTCTGTAAGTCTTCACAAGGTTTTCACACACTGTTTCACACACAGAGCAGTGATGTTTTGGGGCTGTCGCTGGGCAACACAGACTTTCAACTCCCTCCAAATATTTTCTATGGGGTTGAGATCTGGAGACTGGCTAGGCCATTCCAGGACCTTGAAATGCTTCTTACGAAGCCACTCCTTCGTTGCCCGGGCGGTGTGTTTGGGATCATTGTCATGCTGAAAGACCCAGCCACGTTTCATCTTCAATGCCCTTGCTGATGGAAGGAGGTTTTCACTCAAAATAATAATAATAATAATATGCCATTTAGCTGACGCTTTTATCCAAAGCGACTTACAGTCATGCGTGCATACATTTTTTTTTTTGTGCATGGGTGGTCCCGGGGATCGAACCCACTACCATGGCGTTACAAGCGCCGTGCTCTACCAGCTGAGCTACAGAGGACCACGATATCTCACGATACATAGCCCCATTCATTATTTCCTTTACACGGATCAGTCGTCCTGGTCCCTTTGCAGAAAAACAGCCCCAAAGCATGATGTTTCCACCCCCAAAGCATGATGTTTCCACCCCCATGCTTCACAGTAGGTATGGTGTTCTTTGGATGCAACTCAGCATTCTTTGTCCTCCAAACACGACGAGTTGAATTTTTACCAAAAAGTTCTATTTTTGTTTCATCTGACCATATGACATTCTCCCAATCCTTTTCTGGATCATCCAAATGCACTCTAGCAAACTTCAGACGGGCCTGGACATGTACTGGCTTAAGCAGGGGGACACGTCTGGCACTGCAGGAATTGAGTCCCTGGCGGCGTAGTGTGTTACTGATGGTAGGCTTTGTTACTTTGGTCCCAGCTCTCTGCAGGTCATTCACTAGGTCCCCCCGTGTGGTTCTGGGATTTTTGCTCACCGTTCTTGTGATCATTTTGACCCCACGGGGTGAGATCTTGCGTGGAGCCCCAGATCAAGGGAGATTATCAGTGGTCTTGTATGTCTTCCATTTCCTAATAATTGCTCCCACAGTTGATTTCTTCAAACCAAGCTGCTTACCTATTGCAGATTCAGTCTTCCCAGCCTGGTGCAGGTCTACAATTTTGTTTCTGGTGTCCTTTGACAGCTCTTTGGTCTTGGCCATAGTGGAGTTTGGAGTGTGACTGTTTGAGGTTGTGGACAGGTGTCTTTTATACTGATAACAAGTTCAAACAGGTGCCATTAATACAGGTAACGAGTGGAGGACAGAGGAGCCTCTTAAAGAAGAAGTTACAGGTCTGTGAGAGCCAGAAATCTTGCTTGTTTGTAGGTGACCAAATACTTATTTTCCACCATAATTTGCAAATAAATTCATTAAAAATCCTACAATGTGATTTTCTGGAAATGTTTTCCTCAATTTGTCCGTCATAGTTGACGTGTACCTATGATGAAAATTATAGGCCTCTCTCATATTTTTAAGTGGGAGAACTTGCACAATTGGTGGCTGACTAAATACTTTTTTCCCCCACTGTATATTTAGATTATGAGCTGAGTGAATAAGTGAATGTCCTCAGCTCATTCTCCCTGAGTGTTATCTTTATTCCTAACATCAGAGTACTAACTTCTCTCTTCTGTCCTATCTACCTCTCTTTGCAGGGTATGACCAGGCGTGGCAGCAGCACCCGGTAGTCTGGAGATCCCCAAGGACCTGCCAGAACTCCTGAACCGTCAGAACGCCACTCGACCCGTGGACGACCCCGGCGTGCCCTCCGAGTGGACCTCCCCTGCCAGTGGCAGCAGCAGCGACTTAATCAGCTCCGACAGCCAATCAGACTCCTTTAACGCCTTCCAGTACGCCAACTGCAAGTTTGAAAGTGAGTCTGACGTCACCACGGCTGCTGCTAGCCCTCACTTGCTATGCATGCATATTGGTTGTGTAAAAACATTGCGGTGTAACATAGTATTGGAGTAGAGTGGATTGTAGATTGTTCTTGACATACTTTAGTGGGACTATTAGATTTCAGCTTTGGTCCGGATGGCTGTGGTGCGGGGTCGTTGGACCAGGATAACACTAGCCTGGGAGGAGTACCCCAGACTGCAGAGGAACAGGAGCTGTCCAGCCTCACCACCCTGCACATTGACTCTGAGACCAGTAGTCTGAGCCAGCATGGCCTGTCTGCAGATACCGTCACCATCACAGGTCAGAGCTGCAGATAAACAAATCAGAATACATCAGCTTTCAATGTCCACATCACTCATCCTTTTATACATCTTGGTGACTTTCCCACTTAACTAAAGCACTTCGATCATCTGGAAAAACCCATAGAAATCCATAATAAAATATGGATGAAATCCAATCAACTTGTATTATTACTACCTAATTAATTACATCTCTTTGTTTGTGACTCCCTCCAGGTTCAGAGAGTGCGTCCCCGATGCATTCCCTGGGGGATTCCCGCTCCCAGACCCCGTCCCCAGCCACGCTAACCGCGGAACATGTAGCGCTGCAGCACAAGGACCTGCAGCTGGATGAGAAACTACATCACTCTGTAGTACAGACTCCGGATGACCTGGGTAATACACACACACACACTGCTCTCATCACCTAACACACAACACAAACGCACAACACACAGCCTTTCGTATATTAAAAGTGTAATCTCCCTCCTCTCAGAAACCCGTGAGTTTCCTACAGAGGACTGCAGTGTGATGGCTGGTGGCTCGCTGACCGGTTGGCACGCTGACGTTGCCACGGTGATGTGGCGGAGGATGCTAGGCATTCTGGGAGATGTGAACACCATTAAGGACCCAGAGATCCACGCGCAGGTCTTTGACTACCTCTGTGAGCTGTGGCAGAACCTGGCCAAGGCAAGGAACCATACGGGAACCAATCAGACTGAATACTCCATACATTGACAGGCCCTTAGTTCGCATCACACATCAGACTGGTTTGTCAGGGGAAGTGACTAGATCGGTGTGTGCAAGACACTCACAAACAACATTCACTCACTCTTTGTCTCTCTCTCCCCCCTCTCTCTCCTCTCTCTCTCTCTCGCATCAGATCAGAGATAATCTGGGGATCTCTCTGGACAACCAGTCGTCTCCTCCTCCCCCGGTCCTCATTCCTCCCCTTCGGATCCTCACCCCCTGGCTCTTCAAAGTACGTACCTCTCACCGCTCCCTTATATAATCAGTCCTGGAAAAGTCACTTCACTTCTTCACACGTTATCCTTGGAATTCCAGGGAAACAAATGCACAGATACAGGCGAGCATTCTTTTTACCATGACACTGATGTAAAAGTGAACAATGTTATACTTCTGCTCTTGTATCTGTGTCACTGACTGCTTGTTGTCCCCTGTACAGGCGACCATGCTGACTGAGAGGTACAAACAGGGAAAGCTTCACGCCTACAAGCTCATCTGTAAGATCATGAAGAGGAGGCAGGACGTATCGCCCAACTCAGACTTCCTCACACACTTCTACAACATCATGCACTGTGGCCTCATGCATGTCGACCAGGTGTGTGTGTGTGTGTGTGTTCAAGTGTGGCAATCTGCCAATCTCCTAACATCATGGTGAATATTGGTCTCTCTCTCTCTCTGTCACTCTCTCTGTGTTTCTCAGGACATAGTGAACACCATCATTAAGCACTGTTCTCCTCGGTTCTTCTCCATCGGCCTTCCCGGGGCCACCATGCTCATCCTGGATTTCATCATTGCAGCCAGCAGAGTCACAGCCTGCTCTTCCCTCAACGTGAGAACACCTCCACCATTCACCCTCTCTGATTCCATATTAACAAAAATAATCAGGGCTCAAAACTGCGACTAAAACACTCTCTCATTTGCGACCCTTTGACTTTGCAGTGCGACACCAATTTTTTAATGGTAGCTAGGGTGCCAGTGAATTTTTAGCTGGTCACGTTAGTTTTTGGTTCACTATTTTTGTTTTGTTTATATCATGACATTATTCAAGCAGTAATGTGCAATTGACCCAAAATTAATTAACCATATGAAAGTATCTGCCTGTCCCTGTTTCACTGACGGCTGCTGTGTGAGTGAGCCACTCCCTCTTCCATCTGTGCACAAGGAGGTGCATTCTAGTAAGCACAACCATGTGACTGTTGCTCAAAATGCAATTGCGGGAAAAATATATTTTCAAAACAACTATTGTTCTATTTACAGAGAGGAGAGTCACAGCTTTCTGTGATAAATAAATGATATATTCACATCTCAATATTGAGTTCATGGCAACACTTTACAGCTGGAGTAGGCTATGTAATACGCTATATATACAAAAGTAGGTGGACACCCCTTCAAATTAGTGGATTCGGCTATTTCAGCCACACCCGTTGCTGACAGGTGCATAAAATCGAGCACACAGCCATGCAATCTCCGTAGACAAACATTGGCAGTAGAATGGCCTTACTGAAGAGCTCAGTGACTTTCAACGTAGCACCGTCATAGGATACCACCTTTCCAACAAGTCAGTTCGTCAAATTTATGCCCTGCTAGAGCGGCCCGGGTCAACTGTAAGTGCTGTTATTGTGAAGTGGAAACGTCTAGGAGCAACAACGGCTCAGCCGCGAAGTGGTAGGCCACACAAGCTCACAGTACGGGACTGCTGAGTGCTGTCGCGTGTAAAAAAAATAAAAATATCCTTGGTTGCAACTAGGGCTGTTGCGTTGACCGTATTACCGCCACACCGGAGGTCACGAGTCATGAAAGCAGTCAAATTCCACGTGTCCGTTTCGTCACGGTAATTAAGCTTCTCCTAGCTCTGATACTGCTGATGGTCATTAGTAGCCTACCAAATTTGCTAACTGCCTGGTACTCAGCACTCTATTGTCCCTCTAATCACTCTGACATCAATGCAAATGTTTTCGAAAATCTAATCAAACACTTCATGAAAGCTCATGTTGCGCAACATTTCAATAAGCTATGCAATTGTGCGAGAAAACAGAGTGATGGCCTCTACTAAAAAGAGGAGGATCCGCTTTCTATAGGCTAGGCCTACTATATTTATTTCTCAACTTCCTAATATTAAGCACATTGCTTATATTTACAACAGGAGTATGGCCTACCTGGCTGGCATGAAAATAAACCACGGGGAAAAGCGTCCTCCGTTCGCAATTTAAGTGCATAGATGACATGTTTTTTTTTCCCACTGACCCTGTTTCGATATAGATGCATGATAATGGTCCATTCTAAATCAAAACAAATTTCACACATATATTATTTAGTATATGTAAATACAAGATTAAATCAAGAATAGTCTAATGGGTGACAATATTAGCCTATCACTTGTGAATGATATATTATCACTTGTGTATGATGCGCAGCATAAGAAACAAAGCCTTTTTTTTGCGACTTTTTCTAATCATAGTCCCACACCTCATGTAGCCTAGCCCATAGGCCTATATGTTTTAATAAGGTTTGTATCACAACTAAAGTGGCCAAATCACTTCTTAAAATTAAGCACAAGGGGTGTAGAGCCTAACTGGCATACATAAGCAGCGCATGAGTTTCAAGTTTGGGGAACATAATTTTCACCTTAAAAATGCACCTTTATAATGAAAGCATTACATGCATAATTGCATTTGCGGTCACTTTTGATAATGGTGTTTTCCGCTAATGAAACATTCACACTTATAGCCTACTACCATGTGCTCATTGCTGCGCTTATTATGTGAATAAATAGCCTAATAGTTTATCAACATTTTAAGCTAAAAGTTCTGATCGGTTGCGTAAAAAAGGTTTTTGATGCTAGTGGTTGTATTAATTTGAGATCTATTGCATCCCACAACTGTCCCAAACTATGTTTGGAATATTTATTTCTCGCACAGAATAGAATAGGTCGACCTTTGTACTATGTGGGATAGTAGATTGACATAGGCTAGTGCTTTTGCTGGTCGTTAAGCCTACTCATCTTGTTTGCTGACGAAAAGTAAATGTGGACAGTTCTTCTATTATCGTCAATATACACCTCGGAATTGGATAAGGACCCACGCAGTTGCGTCCCCGATGTCTGTCTTCACTTGTAGCCTGTGAGAAGACCCGATCACATGATAGAGCGCACAGCACTAAGGGAGAAGGGCACAACGGCCACTGGCCGCAAAAGGCATGGATTTTTTTAGGGTGCATTACGGCCACACAAATGGGGATGCCGCTGTGAAATTCTAGGCATTATCAAGTGCTTGTCAAATTGTGAATGATAGACTGATAAAAAACAAAGCAGAGCTCATGCCTTTTCAAGCTACTTTTTTCAAATCATCATTAGTCACATCATGCAGTTTTACAATGTATTACAAATCAAAACATATAAAACTAAACAACTAAAGTTACAATAATAACTCTAAATTAAGCAAATAGGAATACCTATTTCTTTGTTAACAGCTCAACACAGAATAGCCGCATGTGCGCACTCCCTCAAATCGTTTGGAGAAAATATCCTTTCTATTTTATTCAGCTTTGTTCAATTGTATTCTTCATAGTATAAAATAATGCCACAGAATTCTAAGCAAATCTTGTCTGCTAAATGAACTAGTGTAGCCCACAGCCATTTGACATAGCCAGATCAGGACCTAACTAACATAAGGACAACTCGGAGTATGCTATTCTGTTCTTCTGAAATAGACTACATTTTATTCATTTCATGCTTCTTTAGACCTGTCTAAAATAAATCATGGATTTATTTTGAAGGTGTTGGCTATATTACGTGGATTTTTTAGACTTTTTTAAATGTAGATGTTCCAAAGGTCAGCATCAGTGGCTTGTAGGCTATTTGTGGAAGCCAGGAGACGCTAAATGTGTTTGTTAATTAACGGTAAATTACAGTGAGACCGACAGTTATTTGCTTGTCAATCACCGGCTGACGAAATTCCGTGACCGCCACAGCCCTAGTTGCAACACTCACTGCAGAGTTCCAAACTGCCTCTGGAAGCAACATCAGCACAATAACTGTTCGTCGGGAGTTTCATGAAATGGGTTTCCATGGCCGAGCAGCCGTACACAAGCCTAAGATCACCATGGTCAATGCCAAGTGTCGGCTGGAGTGGTGTAAAGCTTGCTGCCATTGGACTCTGGAGCGGTGGAAACTCATTTTCTGGAGTGATGAATCACGCTTCACTATCTGGCAGGCCGACTGAAGAATCTGGATTTGGCGGATGCCAGGAGAACGCTACCTGCCTGAATGCATAGTGCCAACTGTAAAGTTTTGTGGAGGAGGAATAATGGTCTGGGGCTGTTTTTCATGGTTCGGCTAGGCCCCTTAGTTCCACTGAAGGGAAATCTTAACGCTACAGCGTACAATGACATTTTAGACGATTCTGTGCTTCCAACTTTGTGGCAACAGTTTGGGGAAGGCCCTTACCTGTTTCAACCATGACCTCAATCCCATCTAACACCTTTGGGATGAATTGGAACGCCGACTCCTAGCCAGGCAAAATTGCCCAACATCAGTGCCCGACCTCACTAATGCTCTTGTGGCTGAATGAAAGCAAGTCCCCGCCGCAATGTTCCAACATCTAGTGGAAAGCCTTCCCAGAAGTCTTTATTTCTCAACTGGTAATTGAAGCGTGCTTCTCATTCAAGTGCATAGACAACCGTAGGCAGGCTTCAGCATGTCACACACTGCTTTGCAAGGAGCTGGAGGCAGTATGCATTTTGAAAACATACTTGTTTGAAACCTGAATGTTTTTTGCTTCAAATTATGAGGCATGTATCTTGTTTCAAAGTAGCCTAGCCAAAATCCGACTATAGAAAAGTGGAGGCAATTATTTTATAAAGACTTCCGTAAGCCATTAACACCGGTAGCCTATTTCTCTCATGTTCTATTGGTTTTCAAAGGCACAATCCAAGTCATATTAGCAACCCATAGATTTCCACTTGGTCTAAATTTCGAATTGATATTTGAATATTTCACATCAAACCGCGCACATGTTCAGTGTGCTTTTGACAACTGTGTTTTCCTGCTAATTACATTATAGAATAAACATTCACGCCTAGCCTACTGACTTGTGCACATTGCTGCGATTATAATATGAAGAAATAATAGTTTATCAACATTTTAAGCTAAAAGTTCTGTTGCATCCGACTCATTGCTTTTTAAATATTTTTTTGATGTAGCCAGGCCTACTGGTTGTATGAATTTGGGATCTATCGTCCCAACAACTGTCCCAGAGTCTGTTCAGAATAAGCTGTTTCTTTCTCGCACAGAACGACATGCTGTCCAATAGAATAGGTAAACTTTTCTACTATGGGGATAGTAGATTGACATAGGCTAGTGATGAAATCTATGGAGGACTAAAAGTGCCACAATTAAATAAATAAATACACCATTAAATAATTACTTAAATGTGTCATTAATTAATTCAAATTATAATTAAATACATAAATGTGTAATTAAATGTGTCATTAATTACTTCAAATACCGATTCATTTTATGTAAAATAAATATATAATTATTTCACTATTTACATTTACATTTCATGATCCTGCATTGCAGTGATTCATGAATTACTTAAAACTGTCAAACTGACCCATCAAAGTCAGTGGGCGGGGCTAACGCGAATCTAGTCTGATCCATTGCTTTGGTCTGAAGTAGAGTAGGCCAACCTGGATAGAGACAATGGAGGATCTCTGTCAACTTTCCAGGGAGTTGGTTAGAGACATTTTAAACTTAGCAGAGGATGTAGAAGCAGGACCTGCTGACATTATCCGGAATTGATTTGTCTTGGCTTGATGCAGAGGGTAACCAATCAGGCGTTAGGTTCCGCCTACCAACTTTTGATGGGTCAGTTTGACAGTTTTAAGTAATTCAGGAAGCACTCCAACGCAGGACCATGAAATGTAAATGTAAATAGTGAAATTATTATATATGTATTTTACATAAAATGAATCGGTATTTGAATTAATTAATGACACATTTAATAACACATTTATGTATTTAATTCTAATTTGAATTAATTAATGACACATTTAAGTAATTATTTAATGGTGTATTTATTTATTTAATTGTGGCACTTTTAGTCCTCCATAGAAATCTGACTGGGATTTGAAATATAAAATGGTCTGAGAATAACAATATTGGCAGGCCAGGCATAGCCAATATGATGTGATAATGTATTAGGCCTACTGCCCAAACCTCATTCCTACAGAACTGTTTTTATTAGGTTAATGTTACATTTTTTAAAGTCCATATGAAAAATAAAAATCTGCTTTTTGACTGCGAAAGTGATCTTGACTCAGAAAAGGTTGGTGACCACTGCTGTACACACTTTTGAATGCACCACACTACACTGACCCCCAGTACAGTTCAATAGTCTGTTTCAACACTGTCATCTTCTCTGTGTTTGCACCCCCCCCGTCCGTCCGTCCGTCCGTCCTTCTCTGTCAGGCCCCGCGGGTTGAGGCACAGATCCTGCTGGGTTCTCTGGTGTGTTTCCCTAACCTGTATGAGGAGCTGCCTGCCCTGCACCCCACCACCGCTGACGTGGTCATGACCAAGTTCAGAGACGTCAAGGTAACTATCCTCATGTGGGGTGGTTGCTTAACTCTGTCTTCAACCTGCTTTACTCTGTTACTTCAACCTGTAGGAACCGGTTCCAGAGAAGTGGTCATTTTGTATTATTTTACCAGATGGTCAGAGAGGGGTATATTGGAAAGTGTGTCAAAGGGCAGTGGGAGTTGAGATTATTACCCATACTGACACCGGCATTAATGTACTGGAGGTGGCAGCATTAACCACTAGATCACTAGTAACCGTTAGACCACCTAAGCCACATACTGTTTGATGTTGTATCAAACGCACATCAAACCCAATTACCTTTTTTATTTCTATCCCTGTGGTACTGAGGGAGCAGCAGCGCTAGCCTAGCTAACTCTCTAATGGGTGATTAGCTATGCCACAGGCGCCCATTCACGGCACCTTGTTGTTATTGTGCCGCTTTTGGTTGATTGCTGGTTAAAGAGCTAATTCCATGCATGAGAGCGTTTCATATTTGGACAGAGAATTTTACACGATGGCATCTGATAGCCTGGGTCTGGCTGTGAATGACAAAGCACTGGTTAATTCAGCCAATAGGGAGTCTATTTTGTCTGTATGTGTCATCTGGGTGTGCGTCCGTGTTTTCAGCAGACCTACATATTTTGCAGGAGCCCGGTTGTTAATTGGAGAATAAAACAGGCTGATTCGTATGTTCATCCGTCTATTGATTGATTGACTCTGTTCTCTGTTTTAGGAACACATCATCAAACACATCCTGAGTTCAGCCAGAGATGAGCCTTCAGCCCCAGCCAGGTATTTTTCTCGCATCTCGAGGCCTTGAATTAAAAGACAATAAACATTTACAGACTACACTGACATAGATATACGAAAAACATACATAGACATTTGTTAGGTAGATTACTAGCATATGAGAGTAAGCAGTCTTTGTCTCTCTGACCTGAGGAAGACATCTGCCTAGCAGATTAATGTAATAATAATGATGATAATGGTAGTGGCAGACAATAGGCCATGAGAGCTGGGGTTTTGGAGGGCAAAATAATAATGTCTTGTCATCCATACTATAACCTAGCCAGACATACAGATTAAGCCAAGTGTCATCTGAAGTAATCCACTGACTGTAGGCTTATGGGGGAGTGGGGAGTAGTGTACTCCCCTTGCCACCCTCTGTGTCCCAAATGGAACCCTATTCTCTATATAGTGCACTACTTTTGACCAGAGCCCTATGGGCCCTGTTAAAAATTCTATTTTTTTGTCCATTAAAATAACATAACATTGATCAGAAATACAGTATAGACATAGTTAATGTTGTAAATGGCTATTGTAGCTAGAAACTGCAGGTTTTTAATGGAATATCTACATAGGCATACAGAGGCCCATTATCAGCAACCATCAGTCCTGTGTTCCAATGGCACGTTGTTTGCTAATCCAAGTTTATCATTTTAAAAGGCTAATTGATCATTAGAAAACCCTTTTGCAATTATGTTAGCACAGCTGAAAACTGTTGTGCTGATTAAAGAAGCAATAAAACTGGCCTTCTTGAGCCTAGTTGAGTATCTGGAGCATCAGCAATTTTGGGTTTGATTACATGCTCAAAATGGCCAGAAACAAATAACTTTCTTCTTAAACTCGTCAGTCTATTCTTGTTCTGAGAAATGAAGGCTATTCCGCTCTGTACTACTCCCTTCACAGAACAGCGCAAACTGGCTCTAACCAGAATAGAAAGGATGGGAGGCCACGGTGCACAACTGAGCAAGAGGACAAATACATTAGTGTCTAGTTTGAGAAACAGACTCCTCACAGGTCCTCAACTGGCAGCTTCATTAAATAGTACCCGCAAAACACCAGTCTCAACGTCAACAGTGAAGAGGCGACTCCGGGATGCTGACGCTCTAGGCAGAGTTGCAAAGAAAAATACATATCTCAAACTGGCCAATAAAAACAAAAGAGTAAAATGGGCATTCTGATATATGGCTTTTTCTTTGCAACTCTGCCTAGAAGGTTAGCATCCCGGAGTCGCCTCTTCACTGTTGACGTTGAGACTGGTGTTTTGCGGGTACTATTTAATGAAGCTGCCAGTTGAGGACCTGTGAGGAGTCTGTTTCTCAAACTAGACACTAATGTATTTGTCCTCTTGCTCAGTTGTGCACCGGGGCCTCCCACTCCTCTTTCTATTCTGGTTAGAGCCAGTTTGCGCTGTTCTGTGAAGGGAGTAGCACACAGTGTTGTACGAGATCTTCAGTTTCCTGGCAATTTCTCGCATGGAATAGCCTTCATTTCTCAGAACAAGAATAGACTGACGAGTTTCAGAAGAAAGTTATTTGTTTGGAACACAGGACTGGTTGCTGATAATGGGCCTCTGTATGCCTATGTAGATATTCCATAAAAAAATCTGCAGTTTCTAGCTACAATAGCCATTTTCAGCATTAACAATGTCTACACTGTATTTCCGATCAATTTGATGTTATTTTAATGGACAAAAAAATTGCTTTTCTTTAGAAAACAAGGACATTTCTAAGTGACCCCAAACTTTTGAACGGTAGTGTATGTAAATGTGATATTTCAGGTTTTTATTTTTCATAAATGTTGCAAACATTTCTAAAAACCTGTTTTTGTTTTGACATTATGGTATATTGTGTATAGATTGATGAGGGGGGGAAAAACAATTTAATCCATTTTAGAATAAGGCTGTAATGTAACAAAGTGGAAAATGTCAAGGGGTCTGAATACTTTCCAAATGCACTGTTTGTATGTGTTCATGTTGGTTTATTGGTTACCAACTTTAACATGTGACGTTATTTATAATGGGTTAAGATGTCTGTTAAATAAAAAACAGCCCAATTGAAAATTAATGGGAGTTGTGTTGTGTCCCCCCCCCCCCTCCCCCCCGTCAGGTGTGTGGCCCTGTGCAGTCTGGGTATCTGGCTGTGTGAGGAGTTGGTCCACGGCACCCAACACCCTCAGATCAAAGAAGCCCTCAACGTCGTCTGTGTCACTCTGAAGGTAGATATATATAATATGCCACTTACTTAGCAGATGCTTTTGTCTAAAGTGACTAATAGTTCAGTGAGTGAGTGCATACATTTCTAGTATGTGTATGTGATTGCTACGGGAATTGAACCCATAACCTTGGTGCTATTGGCATCATTGGAGTCATCTGCCATGCACATTGACTTGAAATTTGAAATGTGTTGCCTTGCCTTCATCCCTTGCCATGGGAAGTGTACTGTTGCAGTCCCTGGTTAGCAGTAGCGCAGCAGTCTCTCCCTGTGGCCTTCCCTGGTCTGTGTGGTGTTTACTGGCACAGTTAGTTTCAGCCTGCCTGCCTGGAGAGAGAGAGAGAGCGATGGGCTGCACTGAGTAGCCAGAAGAAGCTTACTGACAGTACCGACTGGTCTGCTCTGGCCCCCCCACCCACCTCACACACACCACCCAACTCCAACCCAGCTAAATCTGGCCTGACTGTCAACATGTTTGGCTTCTCCACTGCTCTCCACTCTGCTCAGACAGAAGGCGAAGGCTAATCCAGTGAAGAATGCATGCTCCACCGACCTCAAGGAATTATTATATTTCTGTCGTCTGAAATGAGGGTGCTCGCCAAATGGCCCCCCTTCTCTCCCTCCTCCTCTCCATACTGTTATCCAATCAAATGGGATGGCTGGTGATCCGGCCCATTGTTTTGTGTGGGCATTGGCACTGCTGCTCTGGAGAAGCACTCTGCACTCTTCCTGAGCCAGGGTCACAATGAGAAGAAGAGGAGGGGGGTTGTCTCCCTGAGCCCCTCACACACTCACAATGACTTTCTCAATTGTCTAAAAGGTCAGTCCTCTCTTCACCTCCTTTATTGCATGGAACTGAAATAAATAACTGACCAGGTTGAAAGCCTGTCACCTTTTCACCTATGAAGTATTTTCCAATCGGTGCAGATGAAGGGGAGGAGATTTTTAAGCAATTAAGATGGAGCCAGAAGGAGGAGCAGGAGACAGGAGGATTGCCTCTCCCTGAGCCCCTGCAGCCTACACCCTCACAATGGGAGGAGAAGGATGGTCGAGCCCCCCACCCTCCCTCACAATGCGTTTATGGGCCTCTTCCAGTCAGCAGAATTAGGCTCATCCACATCTTAATCCTGATCACAGATCAAGACCGTCTCTGACACAGTGTGCTGTTTTTCTCCTGTCAGCTTGGCTCTACACCAGGGATGGGCAACTTTGATGGGGGTGGGGGCCATAAAATCTGAACTCATCATGAGGGGCCACAGTGGCTCACGGGTCTGCGTACCCACATCCATACCCACACATGCAGTCAGACCCCTAGCCTTTTGGGGGCCCTATGTGTGTGGGGGCAGTTTTAAAGCAAGTTTGCTGCAATTCTACCATTTTGCCATGGAGCGGAGAGAAGATTTAGCAATGTTATAACTAATTTCATGCAATTCTACTAATTATGCCATAAGCTGGAGAGAAATGTTTTCAGTTTTTAATATGATATCTGAGTGAGTGACTAACAAAATAAATGGGCGCCCCCCCCCCGGTCACTAAATCAACCATGATTACTACAAATTTAAATTTAGCTGGCTAGACTAATTTACCAATTTACAAAATGTTAGCTAACATGGGCTTATTAAGTGACTGACTGATAAAACAAGCGATAAATTGCTGATGCACAACCAAACGGGCCGCCTGTTGCCCATCCCTGCGCTACACTACATCTGCTGAGAGTAGTCAGTGTGTGTTCATGTCTGCATGTTTTTCTGTTTTGTTTTTCAGTTTCCAAATAAAACTGTTGCGCTGGTGGCCTCCGACATTCTGCACCTGCTCATAAACTATGTCGATGACCTTCAGAAATTCCCGCCAGACACTCCAAAGAAAATAGTTCAGGTAAATTTGCGTCTCCATTTTATTTATGTAATAAGGTACAGTACCAGTCAAAAGTTTGGACACACCTACTCATTCCAATAATAGTGAAGAAATCAAAACTATTAAATAACACATATGGAATCATGTATTTTATATTTGAGATTCTTCAAATAGCCACCCTTTGCCTTGATGACAGCTTTGCACACTCTTGGCATTCTCTCAACCAGCTTCATGAGGTAGTCACCTGGAATGAATTTCAATTAACAGTGTGCCTTGTTAATCTGTGGAATTTATTTCCTTCTTAATGCGTTTGAGCCAATCAGTTGTGTTGTGACAAGGTAAGGGGGGTATACAGAAGATAGCCGTATTTGGTAAAAGACCAAGTCCATATTATGGCAAGAACAGTTCAAATAAGCAAAGAGAAACGACAGTCCATCATTTCTTTAAGACATGAAGGTCAGTCAATCTGGAAAATTTCAAGAACTTTGAAAGTTTCTTCAAGTGCAGTCGCAAAAACCATCAAACGCTATGATGAAACTGGACCGCCACAGGAAAGGAAGACCCAGAGTTACCTCTGCTGCTGAGGATAAGTTCATTAGAGTTAACTGCACCTCAGATTGCAGCCCAAATAAATGCTTCAGGGAGTTCAAGTAACCGACACATCTCGACATCAACTGTTCAGAAGAGACTGCATGTATCAGGCCTTCATGGTCGAATTTCTGCAAAGAAACCTACTAAAGGACACCAATAAGAAGAAGAGGCTTGCTTGGGCCAAGAAACACGAGCAATGGACATTAGACCGGTGGAAATCTGTCTTTTGGTCTGATGAGTCCAAATTTGAGATTTTTGGTTCCAACCGGCGTGTCTTTGTGAGACGCAGAGTAGGTGAACGGATGATCTCCGCATGTGTGGTTCCCATTGTGAAGCATGGAGGAGGAGGTGTTATGGTGTGGGGGTGCTTTGCTGGTGATACTGTCTGATTTTATTTAGAATTCAAGGCACACTTAACCAGCATGGCTACCACAGCATTCTGCAGCGATACGCCATCCCATCTGGTTTGCGATTAGTGGGACTACCTTCAGGCTTTGTAAGGGCTATTTGACCAAGAAGGAGAGTGATGGAGTGCTGCATCAGATGACCTGGCCTCCACAATCACCCGACGCCAATCCAATTGAGATGGCTTGTGATGAGTTGGACCGCAGTGAAGGAAAAGCAGCCAACAAGTGCTCAGCATACAGTGAGGGGAAAAAAGTATTTGATCCCCTGCTGATTTTGTACGTTTGCCCACTGACATGATCAGTCTATAATTTTAATGGTAGGTTTATTTGAACAGTGAGAGACAGAATAACAACAACAAAATCCAGAAAAACGCATGTCAAAAATTGTATAAATTGATTTGCATTTTAATGAGGGAAATAAGTATTTGACCCCTCTGCAAAACATGACTTAGTACTTGGTGGCAAAACCCTTGTTGGCAATCACAGAGGTCAGACGTTTCTTGTAGTCGGCCACCAGGTTTGCACACATCTTAGGAGGGATTTTGTTCCACTCCTCTTTGCAGATCTTCTCCAAGTCATTAAGGTTTCGAGGCTGACGTTTGGCAACTCGAACCTTCAGCTCCCACCACATATTTTCTATGGGATTAAGGTCTGGAGACTGGCTAGGCCACTCCAGGACCTTAATGTGCTTCTTCTTGAGCCACTCCTTTGTTGCCTTGGCCGTGTGTTTTGGGTCATTGTCATGCTGGAATACCCATCCACGACCCATTTTCAATGCCCTGGCTGAGGGAGGGAGGTTCTCACTCAAGATTTGACGGTACATGGCCCCGTCCATCGTCCCTTTGATGCGGTGAAGTTGTCCTGTCCCCTTAGCAGAAAAACACCCCCAAAGCATAATGTTTCCACCTCCATGTTTGACAGTGGGCATGGTGTTCTTGGGGTCATAGGCAGCATTCCTCCTCCTCCAAACACGCGAGTTGAGTTGATGCCAAAGAGCTTGATTTTGGTCTCATCTGACCACAACACTTTCATCTGACCACAACACTTTCACCCAGTTCTCCTCTGAATCACTCAGATGTTAATTGCAAACTTCAGACGGCCCTGTATATGTGCAGGATTTCAGTCCTTCACGGCGTAGTGTGTTACCAATTGTTTTCTTGGTGACTATGGTCCCAGCTGCCTTGAGATCATTGACAAGATCCTCCCGTGTAGTTCTGGGCTGATTCCTCATCGTTCTCATGATCATTGCAACTCCACGAGGTGAGATCTTGCATGGAGCCCCAGGCCGAGGGAGATTGACAGTTCTTTTGTGTTTCTTCCATTTGTAAATAATTGCACCAACTGTTGTCACCTTCTCACCAAGCTGCTTGGCGATGGTCTTGTAGCCCATTCCAGCCTTGTGTAGGTCTACAATCTTGTCCCTGACATCCTTGGAGAGCTCTTTGGTCTTGGCCATGGTGGAGAGTTTGGAATCTGATTGATTGCTTCTGTGGACAGGTGTCTTTTATACAGGTAACAAACTGAGATTAGGAGAACTCCCTTTAAGCGTGTGCTCCTAATCTCAGCTCGTTACCTGTATAAAAGACACCTGGGAGCCAGAAATCTTTCTGATTGAGAGGGGGTCAAATACTTATTTCCCTCATTAAAATGCAAATCAATTTATAAAATTTTTGACATGCGTTTTTCTGGATTATTTTGTTGTTATTCTGTCTCTCACTGTTCAAATAAACCTACCATTAAAATTATAGACTGATCATTTCTTTGTCAGTGGGCAAACGTACAAAATCAGCAGGGGATCAAATACTTTTTTCCCTCACTGTATGTGGGAACTCCTTCAAGACTGTTGGAAAAGCATTCCACATTAAGCTGATTGAGAGAATGCCAAGAGTGTGCAAAGCTGTCATCCAGGCAAAGGGTGGCTATTTGAAGAATCTCAAATATAAAATATATTTTGATTTGTTTAACACTTTTTTGGTTACTACATGATTCCATATGTGTTATTTCATAGTTTTGATGTCTTCACTATTATTCTACAATGTAGAAAATAGTAAAAATAAAGAAAATCCTTAAATGAGTAGGTGTGTCCAAACTTTTGACTGGTACTATATGTAAATTATTCCTGGAGCTTTTGAAGAGTAGCCTTTTTCATTATAAAACAATACTATGTATCTTTTTGCTTTCAATTTTGTTTCAGATCCTCATAGCGACCATAACTCACCTACTCCCCACTACAGAATCTTCCCCTCATGAACTGGACAAGAGGGTATGTCACCTCACCTCATACACAGCTCTCCTAGTTAAATGGAGACCTATTAATAATAATAATAATAATAATAATGTTTTTTGCAGAAGTACAATTTAGTTGTTTTCATGATGAGCCAGTATTTTGTTCTCTGTTGTTGCTTTATTGATTAAATCAAACTGTATTTGTTGTGGCCTGTCTGTCACTAGTTGGTGGTGTCTCTGCTGTTGTGCCTGCTGGACTGGGTGATGGCTCTGCCTCCAAAGACTCTGCTGCAGCCTGTCCAATCACTCAGCCCTGACAAGGACATGCCAGACAAGTCTGTCCTCAGCTGTATCTATAAGGTATGCCCAATCCCAAATGGAACCCTTGCCCATACTTTCTAAATGATCTTTCTGTAGTAGCGTTGTGAATTGATTGACTTCAAGACAATATTTAATGCCGACGTATCCGTTTTTACTTGTACATATGCTAGCAGGGATCTCTGGTTAGCATTGACGCAGCATACCGTGGAGTGCCGAACCCAACCCATGTAGTAGCACTTCTTTGTGTTTAGGGTTCTTTCATTTACTAATGGAGCTATTAGCGGTGGGTTTCTGTGGCAGGGTGTCTGTCTATCTGTCTCTCTTTTAAGTCATTAATGGTGGACCAGTTCAGGACTGCTTCGTTACACCTTTAATACAGACTGGGGGGCCTCCTTCCTAATGCATGCCACAGCTGGCACTGAGTGCACCCAGAATCACTCACTCCTCAATAGACAGTACTCAATCACAGCATTCTCTCTTCCCATTACCACCGTTTCTCTGTCTCCATGGAAACACACTGCAACGGATTGGCAGATAATTTAATTACTTTCTCTCTGTTTCTTTCTTTCTCTCTCTATAGAAAACTACTGTAGTGTTAATTGATTGATTTCTTTGGGCTTTCTCCGCTCTCCCATATCTCCCCTTTCTTCCCTTCTCTATCCCCAGGTGCTGCATGGCTGTGTGTATGGGGCCCAGAACTTCAACAGCCCCAGGTATTTCCCCATGAACCTGTCAGACCTGACTAGTCCTGACTACGACCCCTTCCTGCTGCTGGAGAGTCTGAAGGAGCCAGAGCCCCTCCACTCCCCTGACTCAGAACGCTCCTCCAAATTACAGCCTGTCACCAAGGGTAAGAACACAACACCCATGTTTACTACCTCTTCTCCTGCTTTTCTTCTGCTACTTCTCCTTTTCAAAGACACTTTGTAATCTCTACCTATCCTACTCTTTCATGTTTTTTGAGAGTCTCCAGAGTCTATATAACCTTGTGGATATTCAGAAGCCCCTTTTAGAAACATATTGGTTGCACTTTACACTATAGAGTAACTATAACCATGTTATTACCATTATTCCAATGCAAACATTTTTGTTGTTGCCCCACTGAAATAATACCAACTATCAGAGGAGGAGAGGGAAAATGGATGAGCTGAGTCCAGTCAGTGTGGCAGCTCTGCTCTGCCTCAGGTCTGGCCTAGCCCAGATATGTCTGTAGCCTTCATCATCATGGTGTCTAATGGAGGGTACCACTATATCAGTGCTAGGTGTGGCCTGGCTTGTTAAAGGTAGCAGTGCTAAGGACTGAATGTGATGTGAATGCTGCTAGGTTCCTCTGTGTCCTGACTCCTGTGTTAGATTCAGAGCAGCAGGGGGTCTCTGTACCTGGGAACCTGCAGCTTTTTCCATCAGGAGAAAATGACTAATCATTGGAGCACTTTGTGAGGCATGCTTCTTTCCTTCCAAAGTTGTTAGCAACTAACTGTCTTTCTCTCCGGTCCTCTATCTATCTATTTATTTGTTAATTTCATTCCTTTTCTTTTGGGGTGTCAGAGGATGGATGCATGGATGGATGGCAGGAGGGAAGGGAAACGTTACCTTTTATTTAACCCTTATTTATACAGGTTTGCCTCATTGAGATAAAAATCGCTTTTGCAAGAGAGACCTGTACCTAAAAGGGCCCCTTCGATTTTGTTGGAGAGAAACCTGTCTTCGTGTCCTGTCGATAGTTGCATTCTTTTTCCCTGTAATGGCTCGCTCAGGGTTTGTGCAGCTCTGTGTGACTGTAATTATGCTTATTGGAAAGGGATAGCTGCTAGCACACGGAGTGTGATGGCATTGGCTTGTTCTCTGTATGGTGCCACACAGAAATACAAAGAGATTCTCAGTTGGAGCCATTGAGGTATCTAGTGTTCTAACTGGAAGCTAGCATTCTACTACACAGACCCTGCTTTCTTCATCATACCCTTAATGCTCTTTGATTGGCTAGATTCCACAGACTTGAGTCCTCTCCCTCATCCCCCTACGCTCTGTTGGAGATCTACTCTGACACTACAAATACCTGGTCCCACTGGGAAGAGCTGATACCTACATGTTATTGACTGACTGGCTGACTGGCTGACTGGCTGGCTGACTGGCTGGCTGACTGGCTGACTGGCTGGCTGGCTGGCTGGCTGGCTGACTGGTTGGCTGACTTCTCTTTTTCTATCTCTTCTCTGTTTATTGACACTGGCCTTGAGAAATGTCAACATTAAACCGATTCCAATATATACCCCTGTTCTTCTTTTAGAGCTCTTTCTCTCTTTATCTCCTTATTCTTTCTCGTGTTCTTCCTCTCTCCCTGTAGTGCGGAGCCGTATCCAGCACGGTCTGATCTCCATCGCAGCCAGGACAGTCATCACCCACCTCGTCAACCACCTTGGCCACTACCCCATGTCTGGAGGCCCTGCCACCTTGACCAGCCATGTCTGTGAGAACATGGACAACCCCTACAGCGAGAGCCCTGATCTGGCCCCAGAGCTCTTCGACGGGCCCAACCTACAGTTCTTTGTTCTGAACGGTACCACCCTCCTGTCCTGTCTCCAGATCCGAGCTGAGGACGGTGTGCCCGGAGGGGGGATGTCTGCAGGCCTCACCACCACCAGCGCCTGTGTGAGGGTTATTGTTAGGGATATCTCCGGCAAACACTCGTGGGACTCGGCTGTACTGTATGGCCCGCCTCACTGTGGCGTTCCTAATCAGTCCCTGCACCTCTACAGTAGCAGACCTACAGAGAGCATGACAGAGAGAACGAATACAGATGGGGAGAAGGAGAAGAACCGAGCAGGGGAGCTTGGAGAGCGGGAAGAGGAGGAGAGGGAAGATGGGGCCACGCTGGAGGAGGGAGAAGAGGAGGTGGTGGTGCTGGGAGAGGATGAGCTGGGAGAGGAGGAGCAGGGGGAGGCTGTGGAGGAGGGAGGAGAGGAAGACGAGGGGGATGAGGAAGAGGAGGAAGGTGCCTTGGAGCTGATGGCCCCGCTGGCCAAGCGTGTCTGTCGGGAGGCGGTTCCGTCCTGGGACTCCCTTCGAGAAGATGACGTTCTAGATGAGATGCTGCAGTACCTGGGCTACTCCAGCCCCGAGTGTCTGCAGCGTGCCGGAGCCCCCCTTAACATCCCCGCCCCGCCCCCTGTCTGCGTCTCAGAGAAGCAGGAGAACGATGTGATCAACGCCATCCTGAAGCAGTGTGCTGAGGAGAGGGACTTTGCACTGCACAAGGGGAATGGGCTGAACATGAGGGCCGTGGAGCAGGGGGAGCCGGGGCCCCAGAGGCCTCAGTCAGCCTTCTACTACTGCAGGCTGCTACTCAACATCCTGGGCATGAACTCCTGGGAGAAGAGGTGAGAGAGAGAGAGAGGGAGACCCACCACACCACAAACTAGGGTCCTGTTCAGTGGGGCAAGAAGCAGGAGAAAATGTTTTGAAACTGAATGAAACGGCGAGGTACTATCTTAACTTAAAAATGCAAATTTTCAGTTTCCATTTCAGACAGTTTCAAAAAGTTTTGCTACAGTGTGCCCTACTGAACACAACCAAAATCATAGTTTACAGTTGATTTGAAGTTTTTATAACAAAATAGCTTTATTCTGCAGGTATTAGTTTAGAGTACTGGGACATTTGATGACAATGTTTTAGAGATCCAGTAGATTCATGGATGGGTATGTGATGATTTAACTTTAGCTTGTCGGCTTTGGCTTGTTTTCCTAGCTTGTTCTAGTTACTGTGCTAAATTCAGATAGTGGGAAAATGCGTTCTGTGTCACTGCTACCGCCAGCCTTGTTTGTCTCTCAGCCCGTCAGATTTAGTATAATCAGCTCAGACTAGATAGTCTCTCTCTCTCTCTCTCCCTCTCTCTCTCTCTCTCTCTCTCTCTCTCTCTCTCTCTCTTTGTCTCTGTTTATCTCTCGCTCTCTCTGTGTCTGTCTCTCTCTCTTTGTTTCTCTCTCTATAATCTCATCCACCTCATTATCACCACACTTCACTTATATTACTTTACTTAGATTAATTTCCGAAGCAGCTATTTCTGATGGCTTTTCTCATTGCATTGATGTCTTTGAAGTATTATCTCATTGTATTACTAGAGATGGATGCTGGGTCTTTATTGATGAGAACTAATTGGGATAAATGGAAACCGCGCATCACATCGAGCCCTAATGGCCTTGTTCAGTGAACACATGTTTTCTCCATCCATCTATCCAGGAGCAGTGATGGACATAACAAAATAGCCCCTTCCATTCATTTCTCCCATTCATTACTCGTCACAAAATATATCTTTAACAGGTTTATGTGTTTGATGAAGGGGAGAGGGGGGTTATATGAGTGTGAGGGGGGTTATATGAGTGTGAGGGGGGTTATATGAAATATATCTTATCAGTGGAATGGAGGGACAGGCACTAGAACATACATGTATTAGCCTACTCACATCATACAAAGGGAGAATAAAAGGACACACAGACTTAAAATCCCTGCCTCTCTCTCTCCTTTTTTAAAATACAAATCGAAACCTTTATTAAATCACAATTTAAGTGAAAAAGAATGCATCACTCTCCTTCTCCTGGCATTCAGTGTTTCCCCTTGGATTGTTTTTAACAGCGGTGGCAAAGTTAGCGTAGTGGGCGTGGCCAATTGCGCGGTCTCCAACCAAAGATTTTACAGGCCCTCCTCTTGGCCGCTGATATTTTTGCTATTTTAAAGCTAATTTCCTGCAATTCAACAACAAATAAATAATGGGGCAGAGAGGGAATTTGCAGTTTTCAAGCTACTTTCCTGCAATTCTATAATTCTTTCCATGAGTGGCTCAAGCTTTATAACATTTTTTGAATTCTAAACGCTTTTCAGACAGCCAGCGGAATATCGCAGCGAGTACCCCGCCTAGTACACCACTTGTCCCTTTAGTCAAAGCGGCTAGTGCCTTCACACACGAGGGTGACAGCCGCCGGTGACCATAGCAACAAAACAAACAAACATTATCGACGTACAAAAAAATTATCGCTATAAAACCATAAGCATGCATAACAATGTATTTACATGCAACAGAAATTATTTTTGTTAAACGTGACTCTAAACTGATTGTGTGGGCAAGTGAGCTGGTTCTGCTGTTGGACATACGTGCTGACGTATCCCCACGCAGGCTACGTTTTCTACTGTGATTGGTCAACAACGACAGCACTGCTTGAATAATAGAGCAGAATCCTATTTTCTCCGCCTCGGCCAGGAGCACCACTGACCGCTCCACCTGGATAGAATTTTGCCCCCGCCTAGGCTTCATTGAAAATGAATGGGCCAGCCTTTCCGCCGCGCGCTGTCTGTCAGCTCATTTAGACTCTGACTGCCTAGTTTTTATTGGTGATTGTTAGTTCTCAAAGATGATCTTATAAAAAATATAGCTTCTTTATCTTTTCTACATACAGTGAGGGGAAAAAAGTATTTGATCCCCTGCTGATTTTCTACGTTTGCCCACTGACAAAGAAATTATCAGTCTATAATTTTAATGGTACGTTTATTTGAACAGTGAGAGACAGAATAACAACAAAATATTCCAGAAAAACGCATTTCAAAAATGTTATAAATTGATTTGCATTTTAATGAGGGAAATAAGTATTTGACCCCTCTCAATCAGAAAGATTTCTGGCTCCCAGGTGTCTTTTATACAGGTAACGAGCTGAGATTAGGAGAACACGCTTAAAGGGAGTGCTCCTAATCTCAGTTTGTTACCTTTATAAAAGACACCTGTCCACAGAAGCAATCAATCAATCAGATTCCAAACTCTCCACCATGGCCAAGACCAAAGAGCTCTCCAAGGATGTCAGGGACAAGATTGTAGACCTACACAATGCTGGAATGAGCTACAAGACCATCGCCAAGCAGCTTGGTGAGAAGGTGACAACAGTTGGTGCGATTATTCGCAAATAGAAGAAACGCAAAATAACTGTCAATCTCCCTCGGCCTGGGGCTCCATGCAAGATCTCACCTCGTGGAGTTGCAATGATCATGAGAACGGTGAGGAATCAGCCCAGAACTACACGGGAGGATCTTGTCAATGATCTCAAGGCAGCTGGGATCATAGTCACCAAGAAAACAATTGGTAACACACTACGCCATGAAGGACTGAAATCCTGCAGCGCCCGCAAGGTTCCCCTGCTCAAGAAAGCACATATACAGGCCCGTCTGAAGTTTGCCAATGAACATCTGAATGATTCAGAGGAGAACTGGGTGAAAGTGTTGTGGTCAGTTGAGACCAAAATTGAGCTCTTTGGCATCAACTCAACTCGCCGTGTTTGGAGGAGGAGGAATGCTGCCTATGACCCCAAGAACACCATCCCCACCGTCAAACATGGAGGTGGAAACATTATGCTTTGGGGGTGTTTTTCTGCTAAGGGGACAAGACAACTTCACCACATCAAAGGGAGGATGGACGGGGCCATGTACCGTCAAATCTTGGGTGAGAACCTCCTTCCCTCAGCCAGGGCATTGAAAATGGGTCGTGGATGGGTATTCCAGCATGACAATGACCCAAAACACACAGCCAAGGCAACAAAGGAGTGGCTCAAGAAGAAGCACATTAAGGTCCTGGAGTGGCCTAGCCAGTCTCCAGACCTTAATCCCATAGAAAATCTGTGGAGGGAGCTGAAGGTTCGAGTTGCCAAACGTCAGCCTCAACCTTAATGACTTGGAGAAGATCTGCAAAGAGGAGTGTGTGCAAACCTGGTGGCCAACTACAAGAAACGTCTGACCTCTGTGATTGCCAACAAGGGTTTTGCCACCAAGTACTGTCATGTTTTGCAGAGGGGTCAAATACTTATTTCCCTCATTAAAATGCAAATCAATTAATAACATTTTGACATGCGTTTTTCTGGATTTTTTTGTTGTTATTCTGTCTCTCACTGTTCAAATAACCTACCATTAAAATTATAGACTGATCATGTCTTTATCAGTGGGCAAACATACAAAATCAGCAGGGGATCAAATACTTTTTTTCCTCACTGTACTTTATATCTGGTTTTAGTCGTTTAAGTTTACACCCAGTCCTTGGCCATAACTGCCATTTACTTACAGACATTATTTTTGTGTGTGGGGGGCGTGCAAGCAGGCACTGCGTAATATCGGCCATTCATGCTGTTCCCGCTTGCCGCCTCTGAAATGGCTCACATTCAATGGAGAAAATGAAGACCATTACATTGTAACAAGCTAATAAAGAGGCCCGTACTCAAAGGATGGGAGGAGGAAAAACACCACGAAACAAAGTCATTTTATGAAAGTAGTCGTGGCTTTTACACCCCCCCCCCCCCCCACTTGAGGACCTCTCACCTACAATGAGCTGCTAATGTTATCTCCAGATGGGAGAACATAATGCACAATTTTAAAAGCTCCATATCTAATGTTGCGACGCCGGTAACTAAAATCTAAGCTTATTGATTTCTGAGGATCATCTGTCCATTGCGTGCTATAAAGTAGCAGGGTAGTTGTGTTTTTAGCTCAATCTTGTGAGTGATGATTTTGGGGGGGGGGTTCTCCCCAGAGTTACTGCCACCACTGCATGCCATCTTGTTTGGCTGTGGTTTACTCAATTGGTCTGATTTTCCAGGAAATACTGTGACAAAAACAAAGAGGTGGCCAATTAGGAGTGTGGGCCTGTTAATGATGGAGAGGTAGTCTGTGGAGGGAGAGGTCTGGGGGCTAGTCAGTGAATATCTGTGGACTATAGCCCTAATCACCTGATCACCGTCTGCCTGTAGGGAGTGAGGATGCTGGGCCTTGTTGTTGTGACTAGAATAGATACATTATTGTCCATACTCTGTTTGTTGTTGCAGTCAAGCTTGATAATCCTTTAGAACCTATGCCAAGACCTCTGTGTTGTAAATATAATCTGTAGTCTATGTAGAATCTATGCCACAATTCTTTATGCCAATGGCATATACACTTGTTGTTTTCTGTCATAGGAGCAACTTCCATCTCCTGAAGAAGAACGAGAAGCTGCTTAGAGAGCTGAAGAACCTCGACTCCAGGCAGTGGTAAGTTAGTGTTTCTCTTTCAGACTGAAAAAGTGACTGTTTTACTTTTAGGGAACAACAAAAATGTGTACTTATCTTTCTCTTGTTGTTCATCATCTTTTCTCCCAATCCCCCTCTTTTCCTCTAGTCGAGAGACTCACAAGATAGCCGTGTTTTACGTGGCGGAGGGGCAAGAGGACAAGCACTCTATCCTGTCTAACACCAGTGGTAGTCAGGCCTACGAGGACTTTGTCTCTGGGCTGGGCTGGGAGGTAAGACAGACCCCGGCTCTCTGCACTACAACCTTTCAGTATCTCTGTATATAAGCCTTATATTTGTCATTAATAGTGAGTTATTGTTGAGTTATGTTAATATTACGTTCTATTGTTTTCTGCCTCTTGGAGTGACTTTGAGAAGTGGATGGTTAGGGTTAATGTATGGTTGTGTCCAGTGCTGATGGTCCTTTGTGTGTTTGTGTATTCCAGGTGAATCTGACCAGTCACTGCGGCTTCATGGGAGGTCTTCAGAGGAATAAGAGCACAGGTCTGACCACGCCTTACTTCGCCACCTCCACCGTCGAGGTCATGTTCCACGTCTCCACACGCATGCCCCCCGACTCCGACGACTCACTCACTAAAAAGGTCTGTTATGTTGTTGCAGGAAATGTGAAAAAAGTCATGTCTGACTGCAACCCTGTTATATTCTCTTATTGAGATGCACACAATCTGTCTGTCCCTCTCACTCCCTTTTCATCCATTCAGCAGGGGGTGGGATATTCTGTGTTGCCGCCTTAGATGACCACTGCTCCCCTGCAGAGCGATATACCCAATGTCTGCTCTGTGTCTCTTACACAGACATCACTCTGTAGTGCTTGTCTGTACCATCCGACTCCTACAATGCGAAAACAAAAAGACACTGAGTCTCCGACGGAGCTGTTCATAGTCCACTGCTAACCATTATATGACCAGCTCTCAGGTGGGAGAGAGCTGTTTTTGTGTGAACTTGAGCCCCACAGAGAAACATGCCATGTTTTGCTACAGAAGAGTAGAGAGAATGTGATCCTTCCAGCAACAGGAGAAATAGGGGAGAAACAATATTCTCACCTTAAATGGTTATCTTAATCCCCTCTCTCATGTCCTCATGAAGCCCTTTCTCCTTCCATCTATCCTCATATCCCTTCTTTACCTCGCTCATCTGATTATTCCTCCTCTCTCTTTCCCTTTGGAACACGCCAGCATCTCTCGCTCTCTTTCCCCCTACCTCACTGTCACTTGCCTCAGAGACATCACCTCTCTCCCTTGTTTTTGTCCTCTTCTACGAATGTCCGTCTCCATTGGTATTATTTTTCAGCAGGCAGAAATTGTATAAGTGCGCAGAGGGCATTAGCTGTAATGAGTTTGGCTGTGAGGCCGGCCCGTGATACAGCCTGTAGCCATAGATGGCCACAGCGATGCAGGATGAACAATGAAGTATCATTAGAGCTGTCCCCTCACTTCCCCTAGCATTCGTCTTCAACAGTGGCAATACACACAGCCCTGGCCAGACGCTAAGGTGCTGCTAATAAGAACAACAGACTCATTAATGAATGCAGACCGACAGGAGGGGAATATTGAAATGGGCTGTGTGTGTGTATGTTTTGGAAGGAACCTAGTTTGACCTGAGAAGAACGTTCATGGGGGGTGTTCTAATTGGATTACAGCGATGGCCAATAATACACACACGCATAGCTGCAGTTTTTTCATATTGAGTATAGTAGAGGATTGGGATTGTACCAGAGGAACATTGTGGTGTCTAATGACCTGTAATAAGGAGTCGGATCGTTAGCTGTGAGTTTTAATTTCCTTCCCCTTGTTCTGCAGCGTGTTGGATGAGAGGTTTAGAGAGAGGAGGAGGGGTGTCTTTTATCTCAGTCTGATTTGAGGGGTTGAATAAAGAGCTGAAACACCGCTGATGGCTTGCTTGCTGTGAGCACTGTCTGGTTCCTCACTCACACTGCTGATGATGTGAACTAACATGCATCCAATTCAGCAGATGACCTCTAAGATATGCCACTAAAATGAAAGAAAATTCTAACCACCGTAGTTCACATAAGAGCCTCCCATTTCATTGCTCAAATCACTAATTCAATCCTCCAGCCCCCCAAAACGCCTGTCTGTCTTCATGTACTGCACCAGTCCTCACCGCTCTACTCATAATTCATTGCAGCAATTTAGGTCTGTATGTATGGCAGCAAAACGATGTTTGTACACTGCATGGTCAAAAGTATGTGGACACCCCTTCAATTAGTGGATTAGTCTATTTCAGACACACCTGTTGCTGACAGGTGTATAAAATCGAGCACAATGCCATGCAATCTCCATAGACAAACAGTGGCAGTACAGTGGCCCGTACTGAAGAGCTCAGTGACTTTCAACGTGGCACCGTCATAGGATGCCACCTTTCCAACAAATCAAATGTCTGCCCTGCTAGAGCTGCCCAGGTCAACTGTAAGTGCTTTTATTGTGAAGTGGAAACGTTTAAGAGCAACAACGGCTCAACCGCGAAGTGGTAGGCCACACAAGCTCACAGAACGGGACCGCCGAGTGCTGAAGCGTGGTAGCAACACTCAAGCAACGTCAGCACAATAACTGTTTGTCAGGAGCTTCATGAAATGGGTTTCTAACCTCAACCCCATCGAAACACCTTTGGGATGAATTGGAACGCCGACTGCGAGCCAGGCCTAATCGGCCAACATCAGTGCCCGACCTCACTAATGCTCTTGTGGCTGAATGAAGCAAGTCCCCGCAGAATGAATGAATGAAATTTTGTTTTCGTGTCAAATCGCCATTTGGAAACCCAACCCTTATGGGATTAATTGACACATAAACAAACATTACAATAATTCACTGTGGTAATTCAATTATAATTCTTCTTCCGGTGTTCTCTGCATTGCGCATCGCATAAAAAACTGTAAGGTAAAAGTCAATACATAATAGTAAATAAGCTTATCCAAACAATAATTATATCCCTAGAGCAGTAAAATAAATACAGTTGGAGTCATTAAAACTCATTTTTCAACCACTCCACAAATTTCTTGTTAACAAACTATAGTTTTGGCAAGTCGGTTAGGACATCTACTTTGTGCATGACACAAGTAATTTTTCCAACAATTGTTTACAGACAGATTATTTCATTTATAATTCACTGTATCACAATTCCAGTGGGTCAGAAGTTTACATACACTAAGTTGACTGTGCCTTTAAACAGCTTGGAAATTTCCAGAAAATGAATTCATGGCTTTAGAAGCTTCTGATGAAGGCCTACCTTCAAACGCATTGCCTCTTTGCTTGACATCATGGGAAAATCAAAAGAAATCAGCCAAGACCTCAGAAAAAAAATTGTAGACCTCCACAAGTCTGGTTCATCCTTGGGAGCAATTTCCAAACGCCTGAAGGTACCACGTTCATCTGTACAAACAATAGTACGCAAGTATAAACACCATGGGACCACGCAGCCGTCATACCGCTCAGGAAGGAGATGCGTTCTGTCTCCTAGAGATGAACGTACTTTAGTGCGAAAAGTGCAAAGCAATCCCAGAACAACAGCAAAAGGACCTTGTGAAGATGCTGGAGGAAACAGGTACAAAAGTATCTATATCCACAGTCAAACGAGTCCTATATTGACATAACCTGAAAGGCCGCTCAGCAAGGAAGAAGCCACTGCTCCAAAACTACCATAAAAAAGCCAGACTACGGTTTGCAACTGCACATGGGGACAAGATCGTACTTTTTGGATAAATGTCCTCTGGTCTGATGAAACAAAAACAGAACTGTTTGGCCATAATGACTATCGTTATGTTTGGAGGAAAAAGGGGGATGCTTGCAAGCCGAAGCACACCATTCCAACCGTGAAGCACGGGGGTGGCAGCATCATGCTGTGGGGGTACTTTGCTGCAGGAGGGACTGGTGCACTTCACAAAATAGATGACATCATGAGGAAGGAAGATTATGTAAATATATTGAAGCAACATCTCAAGACATCAGTCAGGAAGTTAAAGCTTGGTCGCAAATTGGTCTTCCAAATGGACAATGACCCCAAGCATACTTCCAAAGTTGTGGCAAAATGGCTTATGGACAACAAAGTCAAGGTATTGGAGAGGCCATCACAAAGCCCTGACCTCAATCCTATAGAACATTTGTGGGCAGAACTGAACAAGCGTGTGCGAGCAAGGAGGCCTACAAACCTGACTCAGTTACACCAGCTCTGTCAGGAGGAATGGGCCAAAATTCACCCAACTTATTGTGGGAAGCTTGTGGAAGGCTACCTGAAATGTTTGACCCAAGTTAAACAATTTAAAGGCAATGCTACCAAATACTAATTGAGTGTATGTAAACTTCTGACCCACTGGGAATTTGAGAATGAAATAAATCATTCTCTCTACTATTATTCTGACATTTCACATTCTTAAAATAAAGTGGTGATCCTAACTGACCTAAGACAGGGACTATTTACTAGGATTAAATGTCAGGAATTGTGAAAAACTGTATTTGGCTAAGGTGTATGTAAACTTCCGTCTTCAACTGTACGTACATACATACACTACCGGTCAAAGTTTTAGAACACCTACTCATTCAAGGGTTTTTCTCTATTTTTCACTATTTTCTACATTGTAGAATAATAGTGAAGACATCAAAACTATGAAATAACACGTATGGAATCATGTAGTAACCAAATAAGTGTTAAACAAATCAAAATATATTTGAGATTTGAGATTTTTCAAATAGCCACCCTTTTCCTTGATGACAGCTTTGCACACTCTTGGCATTCTCTCAACCAGCTTCATGAGGTATTCACCTGGAATACATTTCAATTAACAGGTGTGCCTGTTAATTAAATGTTAATTTGTGGAATTTCTTTCCTTAATGCGTTTGAGCCAGTCTGTTGTGTTGTGACAAGGTGGGGTGGGGGGGGGTATACAGAAGATAGCCCTATTTGGTAAAAGACCAAGTCCATATTATGGCAAGAACAGCTCAAATAAGCAAAGAGAAACGACAGTCCATCATTACTTTAAGACATGAAGGTCAGTCAATACGGAACATTTCAAGAACTTTGAAAGTTTCTTCAAGTGCAGTCACAAAAGCCATCAAGCTCTATGATGAAACTGGCTCTCATGAGGACCACCACAGGAATGGATGACGCAGAGTTACCTCTGCTGCAGAGGATAAGTTCATTAGAGTTACCAGCTTCAGAAATTGTAGCCCAAATAAATGCTTCAGAGTTCAAGTAACCAACACATCTCAACATCAACTGTTCAGAAGAAACTCTGTGAATCAGGCCTTCATGGTCAAATTGCTGCAAAGAAACCACTTCTAAAGGACACCAATAAGAAGAAGAGACTTGCTTGGGCCAAGAAACACGATTAATGGACATTAGACCAGTGGAAATGTGTCCTTTGGTCTGGAATCCAAATTTGAGATTTTTGGTTCCAACCGCCGTGTCTTTGTGAGACGCGGTGTGGGTGAACGGATGATCTCTGCATGTGTATTTCCTACCGTAAAGCATGGAGGATGAGGAGGTGTTATGGTGTGGGGGTGCTTTGCTGGTGACACCGTCTGTGATTTATTTAGAATTCAAGGCACACTTAACCAGCATGGCTACAACAGCATTCTACAGCGATACGCCATTCCATCTGGTTTGGGCTTAGTGGGACTATCATTTGATTTTCAACAGACAA